AATTAAACCTGTCCCAGATGGCAGGATTGGGTTCCATGTGAAATATCGAAAACCAGTTCTAGGCCGGTATGGCTCGATCCATACTCTGACCCAAGCACATTTCATAATACACTTCTCTCTTCGCGAGCAACTCTTGGTGCGTCCCACTCTCCACAACTTTTCCCTTGGCAAAAACAAAGATTGCATCTGCATCCTTGATCGTACTGAGCCGGTGCGCCACTGCAATGGTTGTACGCCCGCTCTGTGCCTCCTCTAGGGCCGATTGAACTACCCGCTCAGACTCGGTGTCGAGTGCGGATGTGGCTTCATCAAGCAGAAGAAGACGCGGTTCGCGTATTAAAGCTCGGGCTATTGCAATCCGTTGACGTTGTCCTCCAGACAACTGTGTGCCCCTATTGCCACACATGGTCGCGAAGCCGTCAGGCAGGGATGCGACGAAGTCATAAATGTTGGATTGTTTGGCTGTTTTCTCAATTTGCGCATCCGTAACATCAGTTTCGATGCCCATAGCAATGTTGTCGCGGATCGAGCCTTGGTATAACACGGGTTCTTGTTGAACCAGCGAAACGTCACGACGGTATTTGCGGGGGCAAAGTTCCGTCAAGGCCCGATTGTCGCAAGTTATCCGCCCGGCGATAGGGTCATAAAACCTTTCAAGAAGGGATATCATGGTTGACTTTCCACAACCGGACGCGCCCACGAACGCGATAAACTGGCCGGGCCGTACGTCGACATCGATGCCTTCGAGAACTTTAGCGTGTGGTCGAGACACGTATGCGAACGCAATATCATCTACTTTGATATGCGCCGGACCCTTGTCCTTTTCGTTGTCAAAGGGTGGCTTAGATGGGTCTTCTTCCACGGCCGGTGTTAGCCTTCGTAGCCAAAACACGTAGTTCGCCGCGGTCGCCGCCTTGGTCAGACTGGTTGTGTAGGAAAAGAACCCTGCAGCTGCCTCTCCGGAAAAGATGACACCGATAAAGACTGTGAAGAATTGGGTTGTTGTGTACTCGCCAGTACTGATCAGGCGACCACCATACCAAAAACCCTACATATGTCAATTTTCTGTTTTTGAGAGTAACGCACGAAGTACATACCAAAGCCATTGCAAGGAATGAGATGGATTGCGACAGAGCATACCAGAACATGGTCCATATCAGAGCCTTGATGCTATGCTTTTCAACATGACGCAAACAATCTTCGTATCGCGCGAGAATATGTCGCTCAAGTGCGAGACTGGAAACTGTGCGAATAGCGGAGACAGCTTCAGCAGCGAGCGCTGCACTGCCAGCAAAACGTTTCCCAGTGAGCTCCTCTAATTTAAACTCAAGACGAATCCTAAGGTAGCCGGAAAACACGATTGGTGGTAGAGCTGAGCGCATGCAAAGTCAGTTCGGCCTGTTGATCGGGTTCAAGATGCTCACCTCCAAAGACCACGACAAGGCCCAGCTTCCACCCGACGGAAATTGCAAGAATAGAGCTGGAAACAACATTAACGATGTTGATACAAATCAGCATCAGGTTAAAGCCCATGAGGTCGCGTAAGTGGTCGGGATATCCTGAGAGCTTTGAAACGAGCGCGCCACTAGCGTTATTCTGGTCGTCAAAGAAGGCCATGTCTTGCTTGAGGACCAGATCGAATATCTCGCGTCGGAACTTCCTTCCTACCACTTGAGCTACAATGTTGCTCGTCCACCCGACAACGGAATACACAGCCAGATTACCCAAGGCAACGATGAAAAACATGAGGGAATAGAAGTCGCCCTCGTCTACGGCTCTTTCGGGTGACAACTGAAACGCTCCGACGACGCGTGAGAATAGTATGGCTTGAGCAGGGAACGTCGCCCCTCCACATACACCGGCTACCGTCAATAAGACGAAGCATTTCCAGACATCGCCTACTTCTTTGAGAACCAGCCATATGCACGTGACTAGATTGTAGTTGGTGCCATCTTTGCTGGGTTGCTCAACGTCGTCATGGTTTATGGCGGAGACCTGGGTCTGAGTGCGTTCGAGATCAACCTTTTCTGTAGCAAAGTCTTGTTCCACGTGTTCTTCGCTGTCAGTCTGCCCAAGATCCTGGGCTCGGACAAGACGTGCGTATGCTCCATCTTGCGCAAGGAGCTCTTCATGTGAGCCCTGCTCCACGACAGTGCCACTAGACATGACGATAATGTTGTCTGCATTGCGGATTGTAGAGAGCTTATGCGCTATGACGATCGTGGTGCGGCCTTGAGAGACACGCTCTAGGGCTTGCTGCACAATCTTTTCAGCTTTCGGGTCTAAGGCGCTGGTTGCCTCATCTAGCAGTAGAACGGTGGGCTCTGAAACGATGCTGCGTGCGATCGCTATGCGTTGCTTTTGACCCCCCGAAAGATTTGCAGCACGCTCACCAAGCTGCGTATCATAGCCCTATGTGCTGTTAGCACTGCCAGTCCATGGATGGTATGAAAATCTGGGGAACCTACCTTTGGCAGTCTCTTGATAAACTCCTCAGCATAAGCATCTTTACAAGCCTTTTCTACCAGCTTCCGTTGCTCGTCCTGAGGTAGATTGGCCTTTTCGGTACCAACAAGGCCGAATGCGACGTTCTCATATATGGTCCCGGAGAACAGAACCGGTTCTTGCTGAACAAGACGGATGTTTGTCCGTAGCCATGTGAGATTCAACTCTCTGATGTCCGTACCATCGAGGTAGATCATACCACTAGCCTGGTCGTACCAACGCTCAATCAAGCCGACGATTGTGGATTTGCCGCTACCCGAGGCTCCAACTAGCGCTGTCGTTTTACCTGCTGGTGCGGATACAGTCAGGTCCTTCAGTACCGTGATATCGGGCCTTGCTGGATAAGCAAAGCTGACGCCCTTGATCTCAATGACGCCATTGCATGCATCAGGTATTTTACCCTCTTCGCTCAGAGGATCTATTGGCGACTTTCGGTCAATGGTCTTGAACAGCTCATCCGCGGAAGACGATGCCTTTACCAAAGCCATAATTTGAGGAGAAATCGTTGTCATTGCAGTTGCGGCAACTATCACGGCTAAGATGACGGTAAATACATCGCCTATGTACAAGTAAGCAAGTGCCGTTATTTGGTGAAAGAACCCACAAGACTATAGTGAGAAAACAAGTGTTAAAAATCAACCTACCGCTTTCTTTGATCTCTCCTCGAGCAAACATTCGGATACCTTGCCAAAAGGCCAACCCATAGCCGCAGTAGATACAGAAGAACTCTGTGGAAAACATGACTGCGTAATTGGGAGATTTCTTCATCCCTACATTCATTGCGTCGCCGAGAATATTGTCGTATTTGCGCGACAACAAAGGGTGCAGCCAAAAAGCGTGAACAGTGCGTATCGTTGAGAAGACTTCTTCTGCTAGCTGCCCAGCTCTTGATTGGATCGATAGCAACTGGTTCTCATTCTTGGCGTCGATGCCCACGCAGACACTGATAACGACTATAATGGTTGGAATGATACTGATTGTGATTAAAGTGAGCTTCCACTGTACAACAAAAGCGACAATGAAAGCTGTCACGAATGTCGATACACCCTGGATTGTGAGCGAAAGTTTCTCGGAAATACCGTTGTTGACATTATTTCCATTACTGGTGGCTTGCGTTGTGACCGAGGCAGCCTCATCTGAATCAAAGTAGGCGATGTTTTGGCGAATGACGTGTTTGAGGAAGTCTATGCGCACAGCCTTGGTGGTACGTATTGCGGCTATCGATATAAAAGTCTAGCAAAATGAGCATCAAGAGATTGAATTGCGAGTAGAGCTTGCATACCGAGTGGATATAGACAAGACTGAATTTCGCAATGAAGAGATATACAAAGTACAGAGTGAATTTGTTCACTTCAGAACGATATTTAGCTGGCGTGATGGTCCCAGTACCAAACGCAGTAAACGTGGACACGAATCTAAAATGTTAGTGAAGTCCTCGATGTTGTTTCCGTATACACAGACTTACTTTCCGAAGACTAGGTCCCTGAGAAGAAGGTCAGTATTTGTGTGAATCAGGTAGTATTGATTCGCCTACATGAGTGGTAGTAGTGTTCCAGCAGCGACGGCGGCGATGGCCGCAATAACGTTCAGAATCCAACTAGTGCGATCCGCATACCGAAAGATGCGCTGAAGCAAGGTCAATCCTAGATTCAATTCAGGTGTCGCGCGTGTTTGGACTTACGACATAGCCACCCATACCGCCATCGGCCTCCTTGGACGCAGCATCGCTTTTGCCGTCAGAAGCTGTAACTCTCTTAGCATCTTCACTTGTTTGCGCGTCAGATTCGAGTGGCGGGGCTTGCTGCCCCACTGGCGACATGGTCGAAATAAGAGTTGGTGTAGTTCATTGTATGTAGGCAGCAGCGGAAATCTAACGCCATTTAATCGCGATCGGCCAAGAACACTCCTATAATTCTTACGTTACGTAGGGCCGTCTTAAGTGGCTCGATGGCCCCCGAGATGAGCTGATCGTGTCAGGGGTTGACTACGCTCTTTGCGGACAAGGATACTCGGAGAAAAACCGCCCGTACTAAAACAGCGTAACATTGATGATGTAAAACTAGTTATACGCTAACATTGCTAAGTTACACGATTTAATGCTATCCCATGGAAATCTGTATACAAAATTTAGTACGCTTATGAGTATGGATAACTAGTTTGAGTGCGTGATGGTGTAGGCGGCTGGTGTGAGCAGTGGTGTTGTTTTGATAGGGGCTGTTTCCATTCCGGTATTATCGCTGTTCACCAAGAAAAAGATTACGAGCACGCACGCCGATGGCAAGCAGAGTCTTGGCATAGTCACGTGGCATCTAGGTTTTCCATCGTCGTTCCTCTGATGTAGCTAGAAATGCACTACAAATATTTGCAGCTGTATCGAAAAGCGAAACTTGATTGTTAAAGAACACTCGACTGATGCCTTGAGAATTTGTGATTTCTGCCAATAGTAATGACATCGTTGATGATACCCCCGTTATCGGTGCCCGAGGACTCCGTTGCCCGAACTCTCCACATTACTACACCCACTCTCGCACTCCACGCGTTGCCACACTGCGGCCTAAACCGACCCGTAGCCGACGCCATGGAAGACGACGACATGGATGAGTCGCCCGATCGGGGCATGTCTAAGCGTGCAGTAAGTCGAGACAGCCCTGGTGCTTGGCCTGTGGCTGCATGGTGGTCCAGCCACTAACAATTCCCAAACAGTGCGATAGCTGTCGCACACGTAAGATACGTTGCGACCGAGCCGTACCTTGCTCTAACTGTAAGGCAAGCAAACTAGGTAAGAGATCTTGCGTCTATGACATACATAAGGGGCTATTGCTTATGGAAGCAGCTTGCAAAACCTCTGCTCCCCAACAGAAAGCTCAACGTCAAAGAGTCCACATTTCTGAGCAATAGTACGTATTTCAAATAACAGGTTGTTGCAACCACTGGCATATGCGTACCTTGAGATGCATTTCTATCACGCCGCGACACGCCTGGCTATAAGCCGTTTCGGGGCATATCGAGAGCAGGCAAAAACCCCGAGCATGATTCACACTTTGGCCCCGAGATTTGGATGATGACGAGAGCCCCTAGTACTGACTTCTTATAGCGAAAGGAAGATTGACCGAATAGAAGATCGATTAGCAGGAATCGAAAATGTTCTCGCTAGCCTTTCGTCAAAACTCGGCAATATGGATCTTGCTAAAGACAGTCCCGAAACAGCCAGTCAGTCACGTTCGAGTCGAGTAGGAAGAAGCCCAGGTAGTGGCTTACAGGAAGCCCCTACACCTGCACCATTCGAGGGTGAAAGCTCAATTAATATTCAATCCGTCTATGCTCGTGAGATGCTAGCTCAGGTAATTGACAGCACACCGTCAATTGGGCAGAATGAAGAAGTCAAGATGGCACTTACTGCTCTTTCGGAAATGGTATCGCAACCGAGCCAGACCATGGCTCCAAGCAACCGATTGATCAATCGCTCCCTTGCCGAAGTGGATCCCACCAGACTTGAGCAGCCTCCATGGATGGAGGTTTGCAATGCGTTGGAAACAGCTATGAGTTGAGTTCAAGTCTGCCTTGAATCTTGAACGTTGCTAATTCTACTAGAGTATTCAACAATGACATTTGCCGTGATCTTTCCGTTCCTCAAAATGCCAAACCTGAGGGAAATCTTCGATGACGCGTACCACAACCCTGGCACCTGTAGTGCTGCTCGACGCGTGCTTACTTATGGCATTCTGGCGAATATATTCTACGAATTCCAAGCGTTTCCTCTAGCAGGCATGGAAATCGGCCAGTACGCAACATATGCGGCCATATGTAAGCGGCAATCAGAGGTGGCCCTAAGCCAACTTGATCTATTCATACCGGCAAGTTATGAGAATATCATGGCCTTGGTCCTTGGAGCAGCGCAGGCAGTCGAGATGTGTAAGCCTTCTCTCTGCTGGATCCTGATATCTTGTGCAGCAGGCTTGTGCACGAGTTTGGGATATCATCGTATCAACACCATGAGTCACGACACACCTGAAGAAAAAGAGTCGAAGATCTACATTTTCTGGATGATATATATGTTCGACAAGACACTCTCGCTACGGTTAGGCAAGTCAAGTGTCCTTCAGGATTGGGACATAGCTTTACCCTTTGTCCATGAGAGCGATCCTAATGAACCACCTTCCCAGCGAACTCGTATGCTATCCTACTGGGTCAAGGTCGCTAGGGTACAGGGCTTGACATATGAGAAGCTATTCTGCCCCGCATCCTTCCTACAGTCCACAGAAGAACGAACGGCTGTCGCAACAGACCTGATCAATGCCATGAACCAAGCGTGGGCTGAACGTGACGACGTCAAAGCCGTTAATCGAGCAAACTTCGGAAAAAATATCAATAATGTCCCACAACGAGTGACCGGAGTGGGTCACAGCCCAAACAAGACCCCACTCCCATCTCAATTGAAGCGGTACATATCTCAACCGCTCAAGAAGGAGTGTGATGTCAACGAGTACATCCAAGGTATGTGACAAGGAGTATTCAGGTACAGCTGGTTGGACTGACCGTGAAAGGTGCATTTGATCGTGTTGAGGACATTTTGTTCTACTCTGACGTAGTTTCGCACTACTCGACGTGTGCGCTCATACAGCGCTCAGTAAGTCCGGGAAATATGACCTTCAGTCAGGATTGCTTGCAGTCATCCCGATCAGCCCTCGACGCTCATAAAAGGGCCTCCGCACAGTTCAACAAGAAGGGCCAGGAGGAACTTTGGTCGGGATACGTGCACTGGTCCATTCTCCAGGCGCCGTTTACACCGTACGCTGATTTTATGGCCGCTTCATTGTCCCAGCTAATCAATATAGGTTTATTGTCATTTTTTGCAACGCCATTCAGAAGGCGGATACATCCGACGTTAGCGCCGACCTCCAATCTCTCTCGGAGTTTGTCACGAGTCTCGAATCTTGTCGTACAATCTCTGAAGGCGCAGAGAAGCTCTATAGAATGTGTCATCTCTTCTTGCGAGTGGCAAGACTCTACGTGACGGCCAAGGCACAGGACGCTGCTTTGAGATCGCGCACCGCCGCGCAAAACCATCAGAATTACTACACAGCAAACGGCGCACAGCTAGACCTCAACGCCATGTCTCAGTTTGACCCGTATCTTAATGCACTCGGTCTACTTCCTGCTACAGCATGGTCGGCAAATGAATACAGCATGAATCCTGCTGGTCCCGGTGGCATGCAAGCTTTCCCGCAGGATCAACAAATGGGAAATAATTTCAATCAAGGTCAAATGGGTCTTGGCTTTGGTCCATCGGGCGGGAATCACAACTCGATGCAGGATTGGTTTTCTGGGTCCATATATCTTATGAACCTGATGGAACCAGGCGATGATATGCAAATGCCAGACATGGATCTATGAAAAGCTGATTTAACGATTAACGAAGATTTGTTTTTTGAGAAGCTTGAAGTATTTGTGTGAATGAGGAGATGATTACAGTAGACGTCTTAATCTGTAGTGATACAACTAATGACCACTATAGCAAACACCCAACCTTTGACTCTTTAGCCAACCCCCCCATGTATATCCTCCTACTTAACCCCTCAAAAGATTTCCTCCAAACCAACCCCTCAACTCCACTCCTTCCATCCCCAATCGCTAAAACTAAGCATTCACATAATCACAGACATCACCAAAGTCCAATGCAAACAAAAACTATCGATCAACAGCTCGGTTTCTCTTCTATAAAAATATTAACCCTTTCTCCATGCGCATTCAATCTTCGCAAAAAACAAAAATGAAACTATCCTATAAAAACCCCCCCCCAAAAAAACCACAAGTCAAAAGGACTATCCAATCAATCGGCTGAATCCATCATCTCGATTAGAGTAAGAAGCCCCAGGATTGTCAAGTGTATGTGTCCGCTGTTTCTGTATACAAAAAAAAGAGGAGGAGGAAAAGGGGGGGAGATCCGGTCTCCAGGGGGGTGGATTCTTGCACACCCCCCCAATCAGATGGCGAGACTAGAACGGCTTAGGCAGCGCCGGCGGCTTTACCCTTGCCGTTTCCCTTTCCCTTGCCTCCCTGGTGGTGGGGATCGCGGGCTACGATATCCTCGAGTTCGGACTCGACGTCACGGCCGTTCTTCTTTCCCTTTCCCTTGCCCCCCTGGTGGTGGGGAGAAGGGGAGCGGGTTTCGAGGTCTTCGTGGTCTTCATCCTCGGACTCGACGTTGCGGGCGTTATTCTTGCCTTTGCCCTTGCCCTTGTTGCCTTGGTGGTGGGGATCGCGTGCTACGACATCCTCGAGCTCGGACTCGACGTCGCGGCCGTTCTTCTTTCCCTTTCCTTTACCCCCCTGGTGATGGGGAAAAGGGGAGCGGGTTTCGAGATCTTCGTGGTCTTCATCCTCGGACTCAACGTCACGGCCGTTCTTCTTTCCCTTTCCTTTGCCCCCCTGGTGATGGGGATCGCGGGCTACGATGTCTTCGAGCTCGGACTCGACGTCGCGGGCGTTGTTCTTGCCTTTGCCCTTGCCCTTGTTGCCTTGGTGGTGAGGCTCGGGGTCGCGGGTCTCGATCTGAGCGTATTCTTGACGGGCGTTCTTCTTGCCCTTACCCTTGCCCCCCTGGTGGTGGGGATCGCGGGCTACGATGTCCTCAAGCTCAGAGTCTACATCACGGGCGTTGTTCTTGCCCTTGCCTTTGCCCTTGCCGCCCTGGTGATGGGGCTCAGGGTTGCGGGTCTCAACTTGGGCATATTCTTGACGGGCGTTGTTCTTCTTGCCCTTGCCCTTGTTACCCTGGTGGTGGCGGGCTTCAAGGCCACGAGCTGAGAGAGCAGCTACGAGGTTGCGTGCTTGAACGGCTTCATCTTCCTGTGGAATTGTTAGTCAGTGTTGCACTGCACAAAGGATCACTACCACATACTGGCATGCGTGCCTTGACGGCATTATCAACGACTTGTCGGTTCGGTACAACGTAAGCTGAGGCAGTGGCACCAAGGGCCAAAAGAGTGATGGTGGAGAATCTCATGTTGAAAAGAATAGAAAGTTGTCTGTGTCTGACTGTGTTTGGAAGAGAAGTTGAATGAGAGGATCTGCCTGCAGAGACGAAGAGAAGGCGTCGAAATGGAGCAAGTGATGAGAAGGAATGAGCACGTTCAACGTTGATGCTCTTTTTCTTCCGCAAGGCGGAGATGGTTTTATACAAGAAGGCCCACGATGACTTTGCGGGATAGACAGGCTTTGACAGACGTACGTGTGCGGGTCCCGCCCATGAGACAGCCCTGCATTGCTTGACGGACAGAAGCGGACCAGCCGGCGGTGGCTCCGCCAATCTACAGTTCATCAAAATGACATAGTAGCGTGCAGGTCAGATAGCGGGTAGTCAAACATGACGACTCATGACAGGTTATCCTGTCCACCACTGACGCCACTGACAGTGGATCAAGCATTGCCAATGCTTCGATGCCATACCAAGCACACCAGGCGATTGGAACCGATTTCGTGCTAGGTTGACAGTACGATCTAGCCTACTTCCAACCCTCCAGCCTTGCGAGCCAATCATGGACGTTTCGATACGTCGGCGTGACAGGTTCTATGGCTAACGGTGTGGAGCCCGGACTTATGCCATGTCGCTTCTGTCAATCTAACAGCGGCAACGCGTGCGACGCTCCGCGGCATTTAGCCCCCACGGGATTCCTAGGGTATGGCTGTGTAGTGGTGATGGCTGTAGTAAGGTTGTAGGCCACGCGGGAATACCAGCACTGCAGTTGTTCCAAGTGCGTGTCAAAGTCGAACGGGCAAGCACATGTTTTGCCTAGCGGCGCCAAGTCTGAAACGCTGGTGTGGTTATGAACATTCACTCTTGGCTAAGCGACTGTATGGAACACCGAGACACGGCTCAGCCAACCAAGTGGCTGAGACGCCTCCGCTTTGCTTGTCTCACAATGCTTGGAAAAAGCTTGATTGCTGTTTTACCATGCGCCCAAAAGCTTAGCCTACGGTTTGACAATGCCCTCGATGCGGCGTGCAAGGCTATTGTTGCCCGTTCCAGAAGACGGCGTCTGGTAGGCTGTCGAGGACCAATAGGCTGAGCGAGACGACGGAGTTGTTCCATGTCCTCCGCGTTTTACAGATCAGACTAGTGATACATTGAGTATTGGGAGGATTCGTGGCTGAGAATGGCTGTGTAAAGTAGAGTCCCGCCAACTCCCTTTCTTTTTGCCAGCACACAGTAAACTTGATTCTGTCCTTTGTCACACTGCTGAGCAGATAGTTCCCTTCTATCGCAGGTCGACTAATTATTATTGTTTTTTTTTTTGGCATTTTTGTTAATCCTGTCTGATTCGTTACTTTCACCATCTACTTCAAACTCTATTCACCATGGAAAAATATGCAGACACCCACTCGCAAGATGCCGACTCTGAGAACGCAACCCTCATATCCTCGGAGTCTCTCCGCGATGAGAAATCACAACGGCGCCAAAACTTTGTGTGGCTCACACTTTTCAACCTCTTCATCTTCGTCATATCCATGCTCTCCATGGTATGCACTGTCATGTCGCAACGGGATCCCTCCGGCAACACAGCCGCCCAACTCATGGACCAGTTCGGTATTTTCTGTATGGCAACATCCAAATTTCCCAAATACTCAGTCAAATATCAAAGTAGCTAACATGCCTCCCAAGCCCCGTTAATGCATCAAGTCGAATACACCCACACCCAATTCTCCTTTGCCTCCCCCCTCAACTCCTCAAAATACGTCGGCACAACCGACGACGTTGACGACGCATGGATGGACATTGCATTCGGTAAGTCCCTCCCCTATCCCCAAATCAACCCCCCCCTAATCCAATCTCATCTAACATCCACAACTAGTCCCCGACCAAATGGTCTCAAAATCCGACTTCCCCAGACTCAACAAGCCCACCGACGCCGCCCAAGTCACCGACCCCAAAACCGGCGAAACAGGGTACCGCGTCGGTCTAGAAGTCTTCCACCAACTCCACTGCCTGAATCTACTGCGCATGGCGACATACCCCGAGCACTACACAAAAGTCTCCTGGAGCGATACTAACGACGAGGCGGCCAAAGTCCGTGGGCATTTGGGTACGTAACCCCCTTCTTTTCTCCTTGATGAATTTACCCTATGGGACAAGGGGGCTAATACGAAAATTCAGATCACTGCATAGAAGTCCTCCGCGTAAACCTCATGTGCCTCTCCGACGTCAACGTCTTCACGTTTCATCCCAAAGAAGGGCTCGAGGGACACTGGCCCGACTACAATACTAACCATGTATGTCGGAATTTCGATGCGATCAAGGATTATGCGCGCGAGCATGGGATGCCGGAGGCGGATGTTTAAGCGTGTTAATCGCAACATAGTATGGGCTTGATTAGAGAAGAGTTTCGTGTGGTGGTGAACATAGGGATTAAGTTAGAAATAATGTAAATACAAATGATAACTTTGTTTTCTGGACACAAATGGCGGGGGAATCTTTGCATGTGTGGCTGTGGTCGAAGGGTGTAGTTAGAACTTAATCTGTGTGAGCTGAAACGCTCGAGATAAAATTTCGATACACGATCGTTCAAGTCAGACAGATATCGGTAGTAACGCAGACAACGATACAGCATTCATCTTTTATATTGTTACACATTGCGGCTCGTTGTAGTGTCCTCATGATGTCACATATGATACATGGGCGCTGCTCCTGAGCGCAGACGTCTCGTCTCCCTATTGACGTATCGTGGGTCGGATCAATCCATCTCATCGTCAAACTTGCTACAGCAGAGTTTATCTCTGGATCCTTTTTCCCCCAGCTCCTCCTCCTCCACCACCCCACCCCCAACCGACCAAAATTCGTGAAAAGCGAGGAGTATACCCGTCCAGCGATGCAATGCATATCCAAAGCAAAATATTTCCCTTCAACTCCAAAGAGCGTAGACCGTGGCCTGAAATCTCACACAATAACCTCACCGCAGTCGACGTAGTTTGGTCGCCATTTGCTGGTGTCGAGTTCGCCCTCTGTACTGCTCGGCACTGTCACCTCCACGGGTTTGTACATATACCACCCCTTCAATGCTGCTGCCGCTGCTCTTGTCCTTGCCTCGTTCAATGAGCTGCCTGCTCCCTCACCCAGCTTGTCCTTGCCACTGTATACACCTACAACAAACACCGGGTGCCTACTTAGACGACCAGTCTCGGAAATGAGTCGGGCAATTGGTGGCTCAAAGCCCTCTCGTGCGCACAGCGTTGAGAGATCTCGGGTGGGTGTACGGAAATCGAATAGTGTGCTAATGTCAAGATGCCTGCTGAGGAAATGGTCGCGGAAAAAGCGCTTAACAAGAGGCGTGCCGAGGTGTTGGTGTAGTGCGCCGAAGAGGGCTCGGACAAATGACTGCGCTGCGTCTTCCATGGGCACCCCTGTGTTCTGCAGGGAATGTGGGCTGGGTGCAGCACTGTCTGAGCCAAATTCATCCGTCTTCATAATTTTGTGTGTTGTGGTGACGTTCCAGCTCCAAGGTGCTTGCCGCCTCAGAGCAGCTGGGATATCGTCGCCCGATCGTATCCGCTTGAACTGTAGCAAACCAGGGTCCACCTCACCACCGGGCTCAGCTGCGGCTTCAATGCCCCATTCACGTGCAACGGTTGCTAGTGCCTTAGGGCCAATGTATGCTTCGACTGCAGCAAAAACAACAGCCATTGGAAGCCGTGGGTAGTTGCATAGAATCCACTCGGAAGTGTAGTAACCAAGCAAGTGGCGTCCGAGTATCGACAGTGAGGCATTGTTGAAGGCAGGATTAGGGTCTGCTGAAGGATGTACAAGGGTTCGTGCGAGAGCCTGGAGGGGAAAGCGGGGGGGTAGTGATAGTCGACTTCGGAGGGCGTGGAGTTTTATCGAGTGCTCGGCGGCATGTGGGTGTGGGGAGGGAAGGCTCTCAAGTGGGAGAGGCTGCGAGCCTGCGGGCCGCGACTTTGATGCTGAAGAAGCAGGGGAATTTGCTGTTATTTCGATTTCCAGGTCGCCATCGTGTGGTATGGCAATGGTGGTTTGGAAGCGGACGTGTGTGCGGTGGCTATGTGGTGCAATGCCTCTTTGAGCATTCTTCGCCGCGGCATATGGGCACGAGGGCCGGCGGGGGATTGGTTGGGCCAGCAATTGCGAGGCACATCTTGATATGGGTATGCGCTTCATGGGGACACAGCGCAGAGTCGGCGGACAGAGGTTGGCAGCAAGGCGGAGTCGGCAGCAGCAGCAATTGGTCGCTCGTGTCGTCTTCTTGTCGGACGATGATGGCGATGCCAAAGAATTTCCGCCAAGCCCGCGTACACGAGGCCCGTGCTAGCCCTATGCATGCGACAGCGACCTCATGCCAACTCCGACTCCAGCAACCACACGAAGTCCCGCACATCCACAACCACAATGGGCGGCGGAGGAAAGATCCCGTACGATATCAGACGGCGCCATTGAATGCTGCCCCGACGCTAAGCATTGAGCAGATACCCTAAGCACGTCTGGTCGCCGGCTGGTGGCTGGTACGCCCAACCCGCAAACTGGAAAGCCAACACGGCCGTTGTAGGCCTCGCACTTGGCAGCATTGTCGGCATGGCTTGGATGCTCAGCGCAAACCGTGAATACCGCGACAAGATGCCCGAACGCCACAGGTTCTTCCCCAGCCGATAGTACGCCTCGCGTCCTCCACCCCACGCAGCACGCCCACCGCTAACCATTGCACAGCTGGAGCAAGCAGATCAGAGAGCACGAGCGGAAACAGGACCAGAGCTTGATCGAGAAGACGTTTGGAAATTAGCGGGCGGATCAGGAATTGGGAGAAATGGGGGCGTTGCAGCAACAAAGGCTATGGCTGTACATAACTAGCCAACCGCTGCTTGAAATCTGAAAGCCTATCTTCGACACAAACCCCGTTCCACGTCTCCCCCTGGGCCGAGTGAGAGAGCACAGGCATGCCGACTTGTTCAATGGCAAAGCTGGCTGATATTGACCCCCACACTGCACCATTCTCCACATTCTCCATGACTGAACTAGATCCGCTGCGCAGCACGCCAACCGCAAGGCCACCTAGGAAGCTGTTGCCTCCGCCCGTGGGGTCAGCGACCTTGTCCGCCGACTGGTGGTATGCCGGCATCCATTTGCCTTGCCCTTTGCGTGCCACCAAGCAGCCGTCTTTTCCACATCGCACCACAGTCGCTCCTTTTCCGTCTGGCCCAATGCCACTATCCAACCACTGGCTAGTCAACTCTTCAATTGCTCGGTAGTCGACTTGATCTAGGCCATCTGTGTTTTTGCCAAAGAAGCCGCCAAGCTCACCATGATTAGGGCTAATGATGTCGATGTACTTGAGTGCTTTTAGACAGTTATCGAACTCGTCGGTTATACATAGATCAGGCACAGGCTCCCAGATGAAGATTGGCCGACCCGCCTCAGCCGACTTGTCTTGTTGCTTGCGTAATGCGAGGATGTTTTCCACCAGGTCAATGCAGCGTAAGGGTGAACAGATCAAGTGGAAAGACTTGGACCAGAGTAATGATGTACCTTGGAGCGCCTGATGGTCTAGACGCAGCTTGGGTGTCAGGTATCGGAAAGCTGCACATGTTGGTCAAGATTGTAAATACACTGACGTGGGTTGCACGCACCTCGGTGCTCGTTACCACCCACATAGCCATTCCATCCACGTGTAGTTAGCCGGTCAGGCGTTTCCCGCATTAGCACCCCAGTGTCCCACTGCGCAATATAGTCGCGTAGTTGGTGAGGAAAGTCTGATCCGCAATCTACAATCCAGCCCACGCTTCGTGACTGGGGCGGGGGAGAGAAGATGCGTGCGCCTAGTGCGGAGTATGTTCCTGCTCCTCCGACAATGTCCTTGACCGGGGGTTTTGGTGGGGGGAATTCAATCTCATCTTGGGCCGTTTAGTGTACTGCCGAGTCCGCATCGAGTATTCAGAGCATACCGATGATGAACATGCCCAGGGTGCAAAAGTCTATATTACTGCCGTGGTCAGCCATATTGAAGGCGACGAAGTCGGCCAAGCTGATGTGTAAGTAATAAGTATAAGAGAGATGTAAGTAGTCAGTAGTCAGTAGACGACCGACCACTGACGTGCAGTCGGCCGCCCGACTACGCTTGACTGCAGACGGCTAGCGCAACGTGGGCAGCCGTGGCCATGCGCCCATGCGCCCTGGACAGGTCGACCTTGGATCTTCAATTGCGCCATCTTGTAATCTTTTGCTCAGTAGCTCTGCTCACCAGGATCCAGGCTCGACTGCCATCTCCCCATAGCCAATCGTCGTCTTCCACACGCTCGAAGCGTTCCCCGAGCTGCAGGGCGCCGTGACCTGCCCTCCTTCCCCGAGCCTAAAGCTAGCCCAAGCAAACGTACCTGCCTGCCATACAAACGCACCACCGCACCTTCCCCGCATGGCTAACAACATGAATAATCTGACGACGCTGATCAAGCGGTGAGTTGCTGCCAAAGTTTCTTCCCTTGCCCCCGTAGCTCCATGTCTACACAGCGCTGCCCCTCCCATCATACCATACCCACCAGCCAAACCCTCCCCGCCCTGCCCTACAACCACTTCAGAAAATGGCCGATGGCCGTAATCAGTCACACGTCCTGGGCCGTCCTGGACAGATTCGTATCGAAGCAGACATTGTACTGACTTCCATGATCCTTAGGCTTGAAGCCGCTACCTCACGTCTCGAAGACATTGCCAGTTCAGCCCTCCCAGCCGGCAGCGATGGACCTGGCAGCTTCAATGGAGCCTCGACGAGTGCCGCTCCCGGCGCGACACAATCAAATATCAATGCGAGCACCCCCAAGCTAGTGGCTGAGGCAGCGCTGCCCCCAGCAATTGAGGCCTTCGACGAGCTGGTCAACTCGGAGCTCAAGAACTGGCTGGAGTTGAGTGGAAAGTTGGGCACTGTTATCGAGGGCCAGTCCAAGGCAGTCGAGGGTGCTTTCGCTGCCGAGCGTCAGTTCCTCTTCATCGCCAACAAGGCCAAGAAGCCCGACGACCGCACCCTCATGGAGCTTCTAAAGGATCTCCAGGCAAACATGGAGAAGACGGACGAGTTCAGACAGAGCAATCGAGATCCCACTCTCAAGGACCCGTTGTCCATGGTTGCCGACGGTGTGGGATCCCTTGGTTGGGTCACCATTGGCCAGGGCGGAGGCATGAAGCCCCATGAGCACATCAACGAGCTGGTTGGCGGAGCTCAGATGTACGGCAACAAGGTACTTAAGGAGTATCGTGACAAGTGCGGCTTTCCCCCTAATCTTGGTTTGGCATGTAGCTGACATATGCAGACCCGAGGGTGAAGTCCATATCAAGTGGGTTCAAGCTTACTACAAGCTATTCAAGGCCCTCGCCGAATACGCAAAGAAGCACCACACCACCGGCGTAGCCTGGAACAGTAATGGCATCGACGCCAAGGAAGCTGCAAAGCAAATCTCTGGTGGATCCAGCCTACCTGCTCCTCCAGCAGGAGGCGTCCCACCACCTCCCCCACCACCAGGTCCACCACCACCACCTGGTGCTGCGCCCGCAGCTAAGAAGGCTGCAACTGATATGAATGCTGTTTTTGGTGAGCTCAACAAGGGCTCAGACGTAACAAAGGGACTTCGCAAGGTCGACCCGAGCCAAATGACACATAAGAACCCGTCATTACGAGCAACCGCGCCAGTCCCTACACGTAGCGATAGTACCGGCAGTCTGGGCAGGAGTAAGAGCCCTGCACCACCCAAGGCGAAGAAGCCGGAAAGCATGCGGACAAAGAAGCCTCCCAAGAAGGAGCTAGATGGAAACAAGTGGATAATAGTATGTTTTGCTCACGTAACACCTGGTCCGAATGCTAACATTTTGCCAGGACAACTTTGACTCGCCGAGTGAAATGATTGAAATCGATGCCGAGATCAACCATTCCATTCTCATTTCCCGCTGCAAGAACACAACTATCCGCATCAACGGCAAGGCCAATGCCCTCTCCCTCGACAACTCGTCACGCACATCTCTCATCATCGACTCCATGGTCAGCTCAGTCGACGTGATCAAGTGCCCCAACTTTGCCCTCCAGGTCATCGGAACCCTGCCTACGATTCTGCTTGACCAGGTTGACGGCGCCACCATATACCTCTCCAAGGACTCCTTAGCGACCGAAGTCTTTACCAGCAAGTGCAGCAGCGTCAACATCAACCTGCCAACCGAAGACGACTATGTAGAAAACCCACTGCCAGAACAGATCCGAAGCTATGTTCAGGATGGCAAACTTGTCAGTGAGATTGTCGAGCATGCGGGTTAGGGAGCCTACTAGACATTGAGCTACACTGGACAAGATTTGGATATAGGTCTTGGTGATTTAGTGTTGACTGGACATGTTGGGTGGTGGGAGTTCCCTGTTTGTGGGAGACCGCGCCCTCGTGTTGCTGCAGCACACAAAACTCATTCATAGAACCTATTCTCATGCTGCCATAATATGTGTGTGTGTGTGTGTGTGTATGTGCTTTATTCTGGGTCTAGTGTTTTGCCTGTGATACCATCTTGATTACTTTGTTCGCGATATGTAGTAGAGTGAAAAGGCTTCAATTCAGTGCTTTCTATGAACATGACGAGAAAAAAACAAGAATTGCAGCAACTATCTCAATCGACGGGCTGGCTCAAAAAACAAAACTATGATAAAAGAGTCGTAAGAAAGAAAGATAGAAAAAACAGCCGAAATGACAAAGGAAGCAAGGTGGGTATCAAATGTCCGACTGATATATTGACCATGTAATCGTGAAAGAAAAATAAACAAAGTGATGGGGAAGAATATGAAGAAGAAAAAAGATATATACGCGTAGTAAGTCGCAAAATACGCTGGGTACTTGAAGCCGACCAAAAAAAAACTCTTCCTCCAAAAGTTCTTCGACAAAGACAAATATAAAAAAAAGGCGATCGTCGCAAAAGATTCATTTCCAGGTGCTCAAGTTATTCGCCGTTGGCACAACAAAAAATAGTTCCTTCCATTCCTCTTCCTCTTCGTCTTCTTACGCAAACGTCGACGTTTTGGCTGCCAAAAAAGAAGAAGAAGACCTGTCGTGTTTCAACCGCAAACCCACACCTCGGAACGTTTGTCATCCGAACCCCCAAAAAACAAAACTTCTTAGGAGACCTGTCCGCCTCACCCTCCCGCAAAGAAAAAACCGTTAAAGTTTTAGATGACAGAACATTGTCGATACATGTTTCCGCCAAGTATCATCTTGGCGGTGTAACATGTTTGACAATCTCCCTTCTTCTTTCTTTCTCTGGGATGATATCTCACTAGAATAGGGAGTTATTTTTTTCTACCATCCCCCAGCGGGTTCAATGCGACGAGTCTGCGTTTGGAAGTAGCCATCGAAAACGCTGAGTTCGGGCTTGCGGGGCGCAGGTGCAGCAGACGCAGGAACCGTGTTTTCGGAGATGTCGACGAGAGTGGCGGTTGAGGTGCCGTTGTTGAGACCGAGGGAGGCAGCAGTTTGGCCGCTGAAGCCACCGCCATCTAAGCTTCGGCGGCGGCCGCCTGTGACTTTGCCGCTGTTTAGACTGGCGAGAACATAGCTCATTTTGATTCGCTCTTTTGGTCGGGGCAGGATCATCTTCTCAATGATGCTGAGCCACTCTGCTTCTGCTTTGAGTTGCCTCTGCTTTCTACCTGATCCAATGAGTCCCGTTCGGAGACTCGAAGTAGTGGTTGCGTGTAACCGGTTCCGCCAGCTTGCTACTCGGTCAAGATGTGCGTGGAAAGACGTGTCTTGCGTTGAAGCTGCTCTGTGCTGTGCGAAGCCCGACAGTGATTGACCGTGCGCTACGGTCATCATCGACAGAAACACGCATCCGAGTGAGAAGACGTCTGCCATCCTCTTTCCACGCGAGTGTGTGTGGATGGCTTCTGGTGCGGCATAAACATACGACTGGTCCTGCATGATTGTGTTCAGCTGGTCAATTCGTAGTGTCTCGGCCATTGTTGGACTGAACGCGTCAACGCTCTGGCCAATGTCGAAAGGCGCAAAAAAGACACGCGCTCCATCAATCAAGATTTTGCGCGGTCGGATGTTCCGATGGCAGATGGACTGCGAGTGCAGATATTCAAGTGCGGACGATAGATCCTGCATCCAGTCCACAAGCAACTTGGAACGACCGGGGTCGCTGCCAGGCAGCGCTAGGAAGTCGTCCAGACTGCACTGTGCCTTTTCTGTCAAGATACCCACATGGTTTGGCTGGGCATAGGAACAAAGCAGCTTGGCAATGTTCTTGTGTTCAAACTGTCTGAAACGGAGGATCTGCTCCAGTAGTGCGACTTTCTGAGCTGGACGAGCGGTAACAAACCGCTTTCGAACCAAAACACGGTCGTCGTTGCCGAGCATCCGAATGCGGTCGACACTCTTTTCAGAGTTGCGCGATGATCGGAGAAGACTCAGGTGCTGCAATGGAAGCGTTTCCCTGGTAGTGAAGTCCACGTGACCTCCGTTCAATGGTAGTTCTTTGGATGTAGCGCGCCATTGCTCCTCGACGACTTTGTGTGCGTTTGCTACGATACCTTGGAGGCGCTCCTCGGGGAATGGCAAGCTTTCATCTCTCAGGTCGAAGAAGGAAGCCTGTCGCCACGATGCCACGTCGTCGCACACATACAAAAGTATCGCAAGCCTGGGGTTTGACAGGGTCCACTGCCAAATCTTCTTTACCAGACCAGCATCCCAGCCTTGCTTTCGGACAAGCTCGTAAAACCATCCAGACAATGACTGGCCCTGAGACGACAGGATAGATGTGTTGATAAACCCATTTACCAAGGGCACTAGCGGGGGAGGTGGAGGGAGAGGCTGGCGATATGGATTAGGCGAGCCGGGGTAATCGCCGTTTCTGAATGATTCTCCGTTTGCCGATGGAGGCGGAGACAACGGGGCAAATCCAGCTACCGCATTTATGATTCGTATTGGTTGGGGGGCGAGAGGCGTTGTGGAACGACTGTACTGGGGAGTGCGGTCTGGGCTGCTTTTGGGTGACGAGGAATCTGTAGATTTATTCGAGTACGTAGAAGCCGGGCTGGTCATCACATTGGACCATGGGTTGTTGTTCATTTTTGTGGGTGTGGTGCTCCGACTAGTGCAAGATGAAACAGACGATGTCGCTGGAGACGAAGCATCGCGACTGTTGTACCATGACTGGTCATTTTGGAGGTTGACCATGGATATGGTATGCTGCAGACCATGCTGGGGCTTGGGGTACTCCATCGCAGGCGTGCGCCATGGAGAGTTTGAAGCGTGCTGCATGGCTGCAGTGTTTGGATATGACGGAGTTGGGCAAGTGACGGGGAGCCAAGTGGTGGGCTATAGCAGAGTGGGTGGATGTGGATATAGCCGGGGGGTTTACAGCGAGGGTCAGGTCAAACGTGTCGAGACTGCAAAAGAAGGCAGAATCAAAAGCAAATAGCAAGAAGCAGCACGAGAGAGTGAGGAATGCGAGAGACTGGACTGAAGAGAAGTTCGGGACCAGGAGCCCTTGTCCACGGAAGAAGTACAGCGGCAGCCTTCGGGCAGCGTCAGTCTGGTCGGACACGGATAGGGCACAGTAAGGCTACCCTCAGCGTCGGGCTAGAGACTTCTGATGTGCTGGCAGACAAGCAGCGCGTGTTTCCTAACGTATTAGTGGAGGGCGACAATATATGGCCTTCTTCGGTGGGTGTATGTGTTGGGCGACTGCAGGCTGGGCACGAGCGCAACCCATGCGGGTTAGTAGTATGCAGGCGAACGTGGCCGCCTCAGAGTCGCCTTCATGGACAAAAGGCATTGGATATGCATACGTTCGCGCGCAGATGTTGCCGTATGGTGCCAGATCACCCGGCATCTTGACATGTAAGTAGATACATGTATGCGATCCGTTCCGAAGCCAGCAGAGGCTGCCGGCCGGGTGCCTGGGTGCTGGCCATGTCGATTGCGGGCACAATTTATGTAGGAGCTTGTGCACGACACAGACACAGACGGACGGCAGACGGGATGCAAGGGCAGTGCCGTCGCTGTGGGGATCTAAGCCGACACGTTGCTGGTGTGGTGGATGTGTGTGGCACACGAAAGAATGGGTGCAGACGACACAAGCTTCCGAGTCACGCGGCTCACCGGTACTTCTGGGCGATGGCCGGCAGGGAACAATGTATCTCCGGTGTGGCTTCGGCATGACGTCCCTCGACAGCTCACCCTGCACCCATGGCTGGTGGCTGGTGGCTGGCAGTGGAGACGGACCGTTGGTGGTGAGCGCGCGAGCGAGCGTATACACTACACTCTTGCACTCTCATACATACGCCCTGGCGATACGCCTGCGAGCGTCACTGACGGCCCACATTGACAGCGGGCGTTCCCCCCGTGTCAAGTTTGGGCTCGTACAAGCTTCGAGATGACGGCCAGGGGGGTGCACAAAGCCCTGCTGAGGCTCAAAAGATGCCTGAGGTCGGCTCAGGACCCTCTTCAGCGGCCCCCAGCTGAAACCACAGGCCCGGGAGAGGTGGCATGGGGGACGCTCATTGGTGCGGAGAGCGGAATCACGTGAGCGTCTAGTGCAATTCTGAAGCGCCCCTAGTTTGAGCGCCGTTGCCCAGCTCCAGACCTCAACACCAATTGTCTCAAGGAGTCCAGTATCATCATGCTTCCTATATCCCCACCCGCAAACTGCTCGACCTCCGAGCTCATGCCCTGTTGGCCGGCCCCAGATTGGGCCCCATAATGCTAATTCCGGCTCGTTCCCAGTTGCCGTCGCTTCCTTGCATGGAAATCTTGGTGCCACCCGTCACAGCTTCAAGCACATGTCGTCTCAACTCCCTTATGCGAGCTTCAGCAGGGCTCAGTGTTGCTTTGCGAGTCTGGCGCCCGAACTAGTCACGCCATTACTAACACCACGCCCACCCGATCCACACGCGCATGCGTTTTCCGCACCGCGTTTCTTCATGCTGTGACTGCCGCTTTGCCCTTCCGCTTCTTCTAATCTGATTGCTAATGACACTACCGATGCCCGTTTCCTTTGCTCGGTGAGAAACTTTTGCGCTCTCGTTCTTCTCTTCACTTCCACTCTTTTTTTTTCAGCACCAACGCTGCTGGGCAGCCGGCCATATTGACACTACCGACTTTAATACTCACCGTCGACTAATACATCTCCATTATGTTCTTCACACGCGCCCTAGTTGGCACTCTGCTTGCTGCTGGACACGCAACTGCTTTCAAGGGTCGTCAGGTGAACGCTCTTCTTCAGCCGGGTCTGGATATGGAGGAAGTACTTCGACGGGACGCAGGGCGCATGGCCACCCTTACTCGACGACAAGACGCAAACCCTGCCGACACTGCGCCGCTGGCCTCATTAACACCATCGACTGGTGACGCATCGAATGTGAACCTGGCTCAATGGGAGGAGCAGACAAGGACGGCGTGCATGAGGACCCTAAGCAATCTCAACGGCCAAGCATCAAACCCAAGTGGAATCGCCGTCTGCTACAACCTACCGTTCCTCGACAACACGACTGGTGTCTTCCAGGCCGAACTCCGAATGTATAATGTCTCCGCTCCTATTGATCCATGGGTTGGCGTCACTGCCGCCGACGTGAGCATGACGCTATCCTACCTTGGCGCAACCGTACAGAACATGCAAGGCAACTTTGCGAAGCGAGAGGTTGTCGCATCAATCAGTGAAGGCAAGCTGGTTGAGAGACAGGACATCAACGGCATGACACAGTTGAAGGTCCTCATGTACGTAGGAAGGATCAACGAGAATCTCATGGGCTCAGCCATGACCCAGTAAGTGATAACGCTTTGGTGTCATGACATGTCTTCTAACCATACCACAGAGAATCGCTGCAGCCTCTTCTCGTTCCACAGATTGATCTCGCTGCCAGGAACCCTGTCACTGGCCGGGACGTCGAGACTACGCTTTCATCTCAAGAAGCGTCATTCGTCAACGGTATCTTTTCTCGCGCCGGCAATGCCCCTACCAACGCCGATCCTCAAGCGGCCGCATCCGCATCTGCCGCCGTCGCCTCTGCTGCGCCATTCGTCGTTCCCGGAACCGCCTTGGCCTTCTTCCCCATCGGCCTCGTCGTCACTTCAGTCTGGGCCTTCTTCTTTTTCCTCGCTGTCGGCTTCGGAACATACGGCCGAATCCAATACCGCGACCAATACAGGAGGCGTGTAAGAGCTGAGTTGGCTCGTGGTGTCCGTACCATTTAATCCAACCTACTCATCTCTCTCTTCCTCCACAAACCCCCTCAACCTTTCCCTAAATTGAAAATTTCGTTATATTTTTTCATGTTTAAACCCAAAGGTTTTTATCCACCAGGAATAAAAAAAGGGTTTAAGCTACTATGAAGATTACGTTCGCTTGGATACCCCTTCCACTTTATACATATTTGTACATAATTTTGGTTAGGGCGTGTGTGTGGTGTAGCGGGTCGTTTATCTCTCTCATCCCTACTAATCACTCTACTCCTCCTTACTCCTCCTCCTTTCCATTTTTCCTTTTCTCCGTATCCTCCCCCCATCCTGGCGATGAGAGTTCCCCCCTCCCCCCAAAATATAAAAAAGAAAACATTATATAAGAAAGAGAGAGATATCTTCAAAACATTTTAAACAATTCAATGTATTTGATCAATTGTTCCCCCCTTTTTCTCACTCGAATTTTTTTCCTTTGTGTAACTTCAAATCCGCTTGGTCTGCCAAAGCAAGGGCCTACACTGCGAGCGCTTGGCCAGTGCGTTTTCGTCCCTCGCATCACACACAACAAGCCGCGAATTACGCGCTCGTGCGCCCTTTTTTTTGCCTCTTTGTGGAGATTGCAAGGGGTTGTGTCTCGGGGATCCGATCGACCTATACCATGTTTCTCTCCGCTCATCTTACTCGGACGCTGGAGTAACCGTAGACCCAACTACGACTACCCTGATCCGTCTCGCCCAGGCACTTACTACACTCAATATCTTCGAAGACACCTTTTCCCCCGCACTACCTTCGTACTACAATGCGCACGAGTCGAAGCCACACCTGCAACTCCGACCATATAGCGGGGTAAGTCGGTAGTGGTGGGGGAAGAAAAGTGAATGCGGATGTCACACAGACGAACTAGAACTGTCATGCGCCACGCTATCTGCTCGTTTGCGCGCCCTCGGCGTGAACGAACGGGCTTCACTCACTCGATGAGCTCTGCTTAGCGCGAGACCGGCGTCGGGACTCACGTGGAGGCAAGGTAAACAGGCAGCGGTCGCTGCCCACCGCTGCGTTCGCCTCTACGACATGAAGACCTTTTTGCTTTCTTCGCCCAATCTGGTGACCGGACTGGGTATCTTATTATATTCTACACTCGATTATTTTCTTCGTGGATACCTTACCCGATATACATTCTACGAAGCATGCATCTCCCCACCTTCCTTACCTTCCTTCTCGCCTCCATCATCGCTGTGACTGCGATCGAGCAGCGTGGTGCCAACTGCGATGTTTGTGTCCAGCTCTTCAACTTTTGTGTAGAGGTGAGATAGTGATACCTCAACCCTCCGTCTAGAAGAGAAAAAGAAGAAGAAAGGCTAATGAAGGTGGGGTTGTAGAACGGACATACGTCGGGTCAGGAGGGTTGCAAGAAGACGTGTGCGGAGCATGTGTGTCATTTGTTTCGACATGAGGGGAATGAGGTACGTTTCTGCTCTGTATCTTCGTTATGGAGATGTTTGGCGATGCGGGTTGGGTTTGATCAAAGCGATAGGACTGGGACGTTGGGTTTGGCTAACATGATGGGCAGTGCAAGGACTGTGGTGAGATGTTCAGTGCTTGTGCTGGGAAGCCTCGGTATTGAGTCTAGAGGACTTGGAATAGATGGGTTGAGTTGGGGCATATTGAGGTAAGATGGGGTTCATGGAATAGAATCATGGATGGATGATGTGGGGGGATCAGGTAGTAAGGAAGAGGCATTTGGTGGTATGCCATGACTCAATATCATGGCTTAGTCTTCGGCTATGTGACTGCTGTAGCGCAAGATTCACACCATACAGCACTACAACTTGCCCTTGATTCCTACCCACTCACCCTTCTCAACCCTCTCACACATCTCCTTGAGCGTCTTAGCTGCCCACTCGAAATCCTCCATCTCGAGGTACACTTGCGCGCTCAATCGTGACCACCAGGATCCTGCATACCAGTACACCATGATGAAGGTGTCGTACTCCTCGCTACTCAGCTTCTTCATCCAATCCCTCACCTTAATACCGATGTCTTCCTTGTCGACGCCACTATTCGCCGCGGTATGGAACACCTTGTCGAGCGAGATGGGCAGACGGACGTTGGACAAGCAGCACTGGCCCATAGTACCCGTGCTATTCTCGAGTACTTCGGTTCCAAGAACAGACGCCACGTGCTGGCCAGCCGCGCGCGCAAGTGCATGGCAGTATTTGCGGATCACGGCCTCGCCGCCGAGGGTCTCTCGCCACTCCAATGCCTTAGGAACGCACAGGTATGGACTTGAATCAATGGTCCCCACGAACTCGAAGTTTGCAATAAAAGCCGGTTTCTCAGCGTTTACGAATGCTGATTTGTTGCCTAGTGATGCAGATTGCTCCGATGTGTTTTGTTCTGCGCCCGGTTTAGTAAATGAGGGCTTGGGAAACGGCGAGACGAGTTTTGAGCCCTTAGGCAAGAAGCCATGAGAAGTAGGCAGAGTGCTGCGGATCATGTCTTGGTTCCTGTGTGCGACGTGGAAAATTGCGCAGCCACGGGGTACATGGAGCCATCTTGTTTCTCACATTAGCGTATGCGTGAAGGAGAGACATGAAGAACTCACTTGTGACAGTTGCTCACGAAGAAATCAGGATCCAGGGTACCCAGATCAATCTCTACATGTCCGACACCGTGCGCCCCATCGATACAGCTCAACACACCCAGCTCCTTACTCTTGGCTGTCAAGCGCTCGAATGGTAGACGTACGCCAGGCATGCTGACAACAGTATCAAAGATTGCAATCTTGACTTTCCCACCCTTAGCCTCGACCTCTTTGACTTTCTTTTCGTATTCCGCAATGAGCCAGTCGTCCTCGATGGGAAAGGTGTACTCCACCTTGACAGACTGGGCGGGTGTAGTCTCAGTAACGTAAGCCACCGTCTTCTCACAAGCACCGTAAATGGTACTGAACATAAGAATGTGGTCGCCTGGGGTAAAATTCAAATTACGCAGGACGGTGTTTACTCCTGTCGTGGCGTTGGGGACAAAGACTAGAGTGGAAGAGGGTGTGTTGAGAAGCTTGCCCATGGCTTCTCGTGCTTCATCTAGATACCGTGGATAGTCATAGACGATGAATTGGTCCGGCCGAGCCTCAGAAGCATCTTGAAAGGCGCGGAACCTATCCTGTACAGGACGCGGGTATGTGCCAAAGGAGCCTGAGATATGTTAAAGGAATATTACGATTGATGGGACTTTGATGTGAGATAGCTTGAGATACCATGATTCAAGTTCAGGAAACCTTTGTCGAAGAGGAATACCTCGTCTCGGAGCTCCTTTCCAAACCAAAGGCCATCCTTTGTTTTAATGTCAGGAACACCGTACCTTGTGTTTGACGTCATGATTAGGAGAAGTCCTTGTAGTGAAGGGTGCTACTTATGATGTTGGAAGACCTTTCGGGCCTCAATTATATATATCCAAACAAAGATGAGTCAATGATATGGTGACTGGTCAGTTTGCGGGCATGCTTGGCTGCAAGCTGCATTCTAGGCGTTGTAGCACGCCCTTTGGTGTCATAGCAGCAGCGATTGACCAATCGGCATTGATGGCGGCTACTACCGGACTTCTGCTCCACAGATAACTGAGCTTGGATGATATTCCTGCTGACATTCTATTGAGGAAGGGATATTGATTATGGAATTTGGATCTAGCGGTAATTCGGGGACATGCCGTTTTATATAGTATTCGATGGCGTCAGATAGCTTGTTTATTAGGAGATCGTGCTCGCGTCGGTGGGGGAAGGTATAGCCGGCATCGTCAAGAATGCCCGTACCATAGACTGGTGCATTGTCATTGGCTCATCAATACATGTCTGCCTGTAATCCCAATACTATGATGTTCCTCTGGGTCAACAATCATCCTCTCAAACTAATCATTCACAACACAAAGCGTTGATACCACAGCGTGTTATGAATGGAATTTTCCTGGCGAACAATTACATAATGGACATACTATTTGATTCCTCAAAGAATAGATTTATAGTAGGACTGGCTATCAATGTTGATGATTTTGATGGACAATCTTTTATTGTCGGTTTCATCGAATGGAAGGCATATGCATACATAAATACCTGTCCTAACTATGGGCTAGATACTCCTAGCCGGTCTCGTCAGACAATCAATTGGTATTGCAAAGCAGGCTATGCATGTGAGGCTCAGAACTTGGGCATGAACTGGGATCTAGCAGTCAAAGACAGCTTTTCAACACGATCTCAAACTAACAAGTCAGCTCTAGCAAAACCCAGCTTTGTACTTCTACTTGATAAATGCCGCTTTGTCTGCTAAGGTATTTTGTGGCTTCATTTTTACACTTTATGGGCTGGCTGTGAAACGCGAGACTACTGCAGTCATGTCGTATCGAGGAAGGGAGGTTGGTGGTCCGTTTTACAGTAACTCCCCTGGAGGTAGTGGGTCGACATTTGGCGTAGTCTTAAACGGTGAACGGGCATTGCAGCGGTGAACGCCCATGCTGTGACGATGTCATCGTTATAGCTCGGCACTCTGTCATCCTCGGATACTGGCTTTCTATGATATGCATCTTTTCAGCTGGTACGGTAGGTCATCCCTGTCGGTCTCCGTATGCGTGCTATCGCAATGAGCCAAGTTTGTAATGAAATAGAACGCATTCCTCGTATTCAAACACCTTCTGCTATTCTGCAAAGGCTGTCATGACTAGGAGGAATGCGGGTATTCATAATGTTCCAACGCCGTAACCATGATTGATCTGCCCATCTACCTCTTCCTCGTTCGCTTTGGCGCCGGCTTGGGCTTTGCGCGATTGGTTCTCCGCGTGGTCGGCGCACTATCTTCTTCAGACTCGACGCTGGATTCTTCTTCATCCTCATCTTCGTCTTCTTCCTCAGCAGACTCGGAGACAGTGCTCCTTGGCTTGGCGTTCCTTGCCGCATTAGCTACAGACCTGGAGCTCTTTGCGCTCTTTGCAGCCCTGGCCGGTCGTGTGCCTTTGGTGTTCTTTGGTGTGGACGTTGCCTCCGTCACGCTCTCCGCCTTTTGTGAGCGCACACCATCGGGCAGGTCCTTGAGCAAGCCAATTCCTGGCGCATAAATGTCCTTGTACTCATCTGTTGGGACCATGGGCGGCGATGAAGCTACGACCGAGTCCGGGCTATGGAAGCGCTTCCGCCACATCATCTCGCCAAATTCCTCTTCGGGTAGTTCGAATTCGGGCAGGTTGGCAGCATCGTCGGGGTCCAGCGGGTCTGGCTCATCGGAGAAGGCAAATTCGTTCTCGCGCGTGTCAAGGGCATCCAGGTCGTACCACTGCGACAGCTTCTTCCAGATGCCGGGAATGCGCGTGTGAGGTGCATCCTCTCCCGCGAAGCCATGCGAGCGCATATCGGTGTGAATACTAATCATACGGAAATGCTTGTGCAGGCCGGTGGGCTTCCACTTCATCATGCTCTTGAGGAGCTGCGTCTCCTGCTCGTCGGCCCATGGGTCGCTGAGAATCTCATCTTGCGCCTGCACGGCGCCTGAGTCTTGGGGCGTCTTTGGCTGGGTGTCGCCCAGCGGGGTCGAGGCAGCGCTGGCCTTTGCCTTTTTCCGAGGAGGCATTTCCCACGTATGAATGGCGATGACGGGGTGGTTGTGGAAGGGTGAGCGGGAATGCGCGAGAAAATGGATACGCGACGCGAAGCTGCAGGTGCGTAGGGCTGAGCGCCCCCCAGTCTAGACAGGTACGGCGTCATACCCCTCCTATCCGACTACTCGACTCTGCCGCCGCCATGGAAGCGGGCGATTCGATTCACAATGTGTTCAGTAGCGATCGCCTGTGGGAACAGTCTTCCTTTTTTGACGTTAAAGAAGAGTCATCGCTCTTCACCCCGCTGCAGCTAGACAGTGAGCCGTCGCGTTCCTAAACCCTCTATGGAGACGCGTCTTGCTGACCTGCCCTAGTCGCTGCCATCCGTTTCGACCATCCATATGCACCCAAACATGACCTCGAACATGAACTGCGACTACCAGACCTCGACACATTCGAGTTTGGCCCTTTGCCGGACCTGGAGAGTCTGGATGAGTACAGCATCGTCATTGACACACCGCCCCTCGAGCCCGACGAAGATGTTTGGCAGATAGCGCTTGACCAAGGGCCCGCCAACAAAGACGTCCTGTTCTACACATGGGAGTCTTTTGAGAAGAGGGAGAATATCGACACCCCATCACCGTACCTTACCGAACACGGCCCCGAGGCCTTTGATGCCGCACTAGTACGCGATGACGAGAATCAAAGTGCTGGGAGGATACTCAAAGCCGACATTCTCCTACAGTCGCTCTGGAACCTCGGGCTGGGCCGGTCATCTATCCTCTTTCGCTTCAATCCCAAGTCGAAATCCTTTGAGCCCACCATACCTCAGGGGCGAGCGTCAGGACTGAGTCTGCAGATTGCCCAGAGCTTCATTGCCTATTTCACCCATACTGGTAATACGTTTCTGTATTTGCGATCCTTTGCCGAGCGTACTTTTGCTTCTGCTGCATCCATACCCGCAAAAGTTGCCCTGGCTACGTCTGTATCAAGCATTCTCGCCAGTCTAGAACATGCCCTGGGTAAACAGTCTTCCAAGATTCGGTCTTTGATCCAGCTACAGCACCAATTTGCGAAGCCTCGAAGCATCCTAATACACGTTGCACGCATGGTCGATGCTGTCAAGCACGCAAAGACTAACGAGCAACTCTCTTCCATTCTGCATCACCGTCTTTTGGAAATCGAGGAGGGAGACGATCAACTCCGCCAGCTGTCATGTCAGTTGCTCTGTCAAGTAGCTAGACCGAGCCTGGAGCTGCTTGGTGAATGGATGGGCATACGAAAAGAGCAGGCAGCCCTACCCATCTGGCAACGTGACAGCTTCGTGACGGTAGAAGAGACTGCTGGTGATACATCGGCGGTTGAGTATGTATACAGATCTGAAATGATGCCGAGATTTATATCTCCCGAAGACGGAAATATGATATTCGAGACTGGAAACAGTCTTCGCTTCCTAAAGACACAGCATCCGCATCACCCACTTGCTCGCCTGGACGGACTGGCTGTCCAGCCACCAGATATGGAGTGGGCTTTCCAGTGGCAGCAAGTGGAGAAATTAGCAGAGAAAGCAAAAGCTTATGAAGAGAGGCTGAGGCAAGCACTGTTGGCCTTTGGTGCAGGCCACGCCGACGCCGTAGACACCCTTCCTATCCCATCTACACCAGCGCCAGCCGCAGAACTTTCAGTTGACACTCAAAATCTTGATCAGTACTTTAAAGACTCTATTCAAATGATGGATGCCGCTCCCAAGTTGTCTTCAGAGACTTTACCTGATGAGTTGCAGCTTCTCATGGAAAGCATTCTCGACGCGACTCGCGAGAAAGACGACGCAAACTCCAGCACATTCTCACCACCAATGTCTTTAGCCTCCACCTTGTCCTTTCGCCCGCTCATTAGGGCGCAAGCAAAGCTTGTGAACGCAGCTACAGTTCGTCTGTTCTTCCGTTCTCATCAACTGCGTCTACATCTGTCTTTACAGCGACAGTACCACCTACTTGGTGATGGTGTCTTCTCATCACTTTTAGCGACCGCTCTCTTCGACCCTAATCGTGAAAGCGCTGAGCGGCACAAAGGAAGAATGCGTAGTGGAGTGCACATGGGCCTGCAGCTGGGATCTCGCAAGTCATGGCCGCCAGCAAGTTCAGAACTCCGGCTGGCATTGAGAGGGGTACTGAGTGAAAGCTACTACTCTTCTGCGCTCTTTCAATCCACACAAAAAGACGGCCAGATATCCGCGCCCAAAACACACCTGCACAACAGAGACAATGACGAACTCCCAGGACAACTCAACTTTGCTATTCGTAACCTCACCGAGGCAGAGCAAGAAAAGGTCATGGATCCAGACGCCCTACCTGCGCTGGACTTTCTACGACTGCAATATGTGGCGCCGCCTCCACTGAACCTTATCATCACGACCACCGCACTAGACAAGTACGACTATATCTTCAAGTTTCTACTGCGGTTATTGCGTATGCTCTTTGTGGTTTCGCATCTACCGCGCGAGTATCCTGACCGCGACTCTCGATACTTGAGGATGGAAGCATATCACTTTGTGATCGCGCTGACCAACTACGTTTTCCAGACCGGGATTGCCGAGCCCTGGAACGAATATGAGCGCTTCGTCTCCAAAGTCGAAGCCCGTCTTGATCAGGAAGACGTAGCTGGTGAGCTAGGTGTGCGCGTTACAGAAGGCGTTGCCTCGTTGCGTGATGCTCACGAAAAGTGCCTTGATAGTATTCTCTTTGCACTATTGCTCCGCAAACGCCAGCGCAAGGTCATGGCGCTTGTAGAAGAAATATTCGAGCACATTCTTCTCTTTTCTAAGATGCAGAATTCGAAGACACATGGAAGCCAAGAAAGTGTCAAGAGTCTCTATGCCAAGTTGAGGGGCAAGATACGCGTTTTTTTCAGCGTTTGTCGAGGCTTGACGGGCAAGCAGAGCTATGGCAAGGGAAGAGGCACGGCAGAGGAAAACTCCATGGAGCGACTCGTCATTGCTATGGAGATGAATGGTTATTTTGCTGTATCGTGAGGCACTATATAGTCCAGCCTGATGGGTAAACGTCTCGTTCTGATTTCGGCCCGAGTAAACATGGTGATGTATTGGTGCGGTTCGGCCCGTTGTTATCCACTGCGTGCGGTGTTCGTCCCCGCCCATCAGCGCAAACATAGCACTATATTAAGACACTACTTCTCACGAGTTCTCCCAATGCAAGACAGTGCCGGGCAATGAAAGCGGCGGCTTTGACACATGCATACACTGATCTACGATGCTGGCACGAGACCATGCGGAGCCGTCGACACCCGTCTACCAAGACATGGTCTCGTATCGTGGATGATCTACGCACATGACTTGAAAATACCGTACAGTACAGCGAAATGACTAGAGCAACCGAGCTACATGGGGTACATCCAGGGAGTTTTTCACTAGTATTTAGGTCTTATTTCTTTTTCACCTCCCTAAGAGATCAGCGATGCGTAACAAGGAATTTTGGTTGAAGTAAAGGGTTTTGGATTAAATTGTTTTGTACGATTACCCCGCTTATTGTGTATCTTGGGTCATCTGGGTCACCTGGAGTGATGTGTTGTACATACAGGGTGTAGTACTCTTGGTGTACCAAAATACCCGGATAAACACTGCCTCCCCTGGAATAGCGCAAGGTTGATGATATTCAACTACGTGCTAGTAATATAAGCCTACACAATCTGTTCTTGTAGAGTATTGGTATTGAACCAAGCTCCAGCACTTTAGCACATAAAACTAACATATTTAAATGTGTGGTAGTGAAGGCGCCTGGATACAAATAGCGGCTCTGTTTGATTAAGGCTATCTTTACTCCAATATTTTAGTCCACCAAGAAGTATTCAGTAAGTAGAATTTGCTGTTTGGTCCTGTGCCCATCTCAGCACGCTGTGCCAGCATCCCTGAATGAACTATCTTTATCGTTAATAGAGGATTACTTCGTGAGCATGTATGGTGACACTGTTTGCTGTGGGCTTTTGATAAAGGGACATTTAAAAGACTACGCAGTATTCAGATAGTAGTTATTCATAACGCTTATCAATTGAAATACGCTCCAATAAATAGAGATTGAGAAAAAGAGGAAAGAAGAGCGTGAGTTTCTTGGTCAGAAAGAGGGGCTTTGGGGGCGCTTTTAAGACCCGAGGCTGGACTATGGAACTAGTGCTCTATAAGAACAGGCCGTATTGTAGTGTAGTATCATGTGGTAAGATATTGGGTATAGATTGTGATTCCTTTATGGAGTACATATGTTAACTCTTCAACCCAAGCAATCTCAGCGATTAGATTTTTGCTCTTCTCTACCTACTCGATTGCGGGTCGCCCTTTGATCTTTTGAGCTCGATCTTATATCTTGCCACAGCATTCAATTCTATAGGTTTCATATCCAAAACAAGCACGTTATGAAAGGGATTTTGAAGTTGTCAACAGCTTTAGTGAGGAATTGCCGGTTACTTTGAGTTTGTTTTTTTACTATGTATGTAGTTGTGTGAGAGTCATGTATCTTAACACTATTAATGGATTATTCAGCCGAGTTTCTGTTGTGCTGATTTGTATAAAGTGTGTTGGAACCTTTCAAGACTCTCATCATCTTCAATGACCCTGTGTTAACATGCTGAGGTATTAGTCCGTGACAGAAAAAAGTGGCAAAAGTGTAAAGACTTGAGAAAAGACTCATGGTAGACTGACTGTTGTATGATAAGAATCTATTTCTATCCTTTCATAGGTAAAAATCTCACCAAGATTACTAAATGAAAGAGTTTTGATGTCCAGACGCTATATATGAACTGTGAAACTACTGCATTATCTATCATAAGCCCGACAACCCGACGGCATGAAAACTAGAAAGAAAAGGATATATGCACACCCCTAGTCATCCTCGTCGGAGAAAACCTCTTCACTACGTTTACGACGTGCCATACATTCCTTCTTTTTCTTTTTAACCAGCACATAATCTCTACTCTTAAATTGCATCTTAAGCATTAAAAGATTAGAGAAGGTTTTCAAGATACCTGTTTATAGGCTTAAATATTGTAATCTACTTCTTAGAAACACTATAAAAGGCTATTGCTTTAAAAGTAGTTATATTAACTTTGTAAGGTACAGTGCTATTCTATGGTACTGTAAGTGAATTCACTACAAATAGGAAAAAGTGAATAGACTGTCTAATATTTAAAATTCTGTACGTGCTTTAAATTTGTCTTAATTTTTCTTAAGATATATCTTACATTATAGGAACTAGAAGTATCTATACATCTTCATATTCGAGCCTTTGTAGGTAGTTATCCGTGATGTTATGTGCGAATGCCAAGATCAACAGGAAGACCATGTTATCAACAACCCACATTTGCGACAGCAATGAAAACTGACTATACTTACACACACAGTCACGAAGACACAACTTAAAGGTATTGGTAAAGCAATTGAAGTTTGACGGGAATCTATTTCTATCTTCTACGAGTGAGGTACCCGCAAGATGCGTTCGTGAACATTTTGATAACCAGACGCCGAACATGGACCATAATCCGTAAACTACTGCATTATGTCATGAAAAGCCAACCACCCGTCGGCATGCAAACCGGAAGAAAGGAAAACATCCGTGCAAGATACGCATACCACTAGTCATCCTCATCGGAGAAAACCTCCTCACCGCGCTTGCGGCGAGCCATGCGCTCCTTCTTCTTCTTCCTCATCTCACTAGAGCTAAGTTTGACCTTCTTTTTCGCAGTTTCGATCTTGTTTCCCATAGCGTCGAAAGTGACCGCGTCTGGGTCCTCGTCCTTGGCCAGACGAGGTCCGGCACCTTGTCCTTGAACCCAGTTGTGACCGGAGGGGGTCATGCGTCCATCCATGACAGCCCAGACTTCCTCGGTAAGGTCGGCGGTGAACTCGGCGGAGTGAGTGATGATGATGACACCACCCTCGAAGGTCTTGATGGCCTTGGACAGGGCACCAAGGGAGTCACGGTCGAGGTAGTTAGTAGGCTCGTCAAGGACGATCAAGTGGGGGCGTTGCCATGAGCAGGCGGCGAGGACAACCTTGACACGCTGACCACCAGACAGACCGCGCATACGGGAGTGAGAAACAAGCTCAGCGTCAAGACCGAAGTTGGCGCAGTGAGCCTCAATCTCCTTACGGACCAGAGGACGGAACTGACCGCTGGCAAGAGCCTCCTTCTGGTCAACTTCGGCAACCATCTTGGCGTGGGAAGCCATGATCTCGCTACGGGGAATCCAGGCGTTGTCGGCAGTCATCATGGGTGTCCAGCGCTCGTTCTTCATGCCGATGTTCTCACCGAGAGCGAACGAACACTCGTACTCATAAGAATTCTTGAACTTTCTGCGGGAGTGGATACCAATGACACGGCGCTCAGTACCTTCGATCTTGTAGATCTTGTCCATGGCCTTCTCGTCCTCCTCAGTGACGATCTTATTGGCACGGTCCATGGTCTCACGGTCCTCACCAGTCTGGAAACGCCATTGAATGTACTCGGAAGGAGTCTTGTCGAGGTGGTGGTCAATGTGAGCGAAAGCGTGCTGCTTGATGTAGGCAATACGGATGTTCTCGTGGTGGTAGATCTCACCCTTGGTTGGGACAAGCTCACCAGTCAAGACGTTGACAAGGGTGGACTTTCCGGCACCGTTGGGACCAATGACAGCGATACGGGATCCGAGAGAGCACTGAAAGGTAATGTCCTCAATCTGGGGCTTGGAGGTACCCTCGTACTGGAAGCTCATGTTGGTGGCACGGAGGATAGCCTTGGCCTTGGTCTTGACACCCTCGAGGAAACCGGGCTCGGGGAACCTGAACTCCATGTCGGAAGCGGACAGCTCGTGGTAGGACTTGGCAGATGGCACGCGCTTGACGAAGTCATCGAGGTTACCCTTGTAACGCTTGAGCTTGAAGCGCTCGTAGTGGATGACGTGCTGAATGATATTGTTCAAGAACTTGCTGTCGTGGGAAATGACAATGGATGTGCAAGGAGAGGTGGTGAGGTAGTCCTCGAGCCACTTGACGTTCTTGACGTCCAAGTGGTTGGTGGGCTCGTCAAGCAGAAGGATATCAGGCTCCTCGAAGACGGCACGAGCGAGAGCGAGCTTCATCTTCCATCCACCAGAGAGGGCACCAATGGGTCCGTTGTACATGGCATCGGAGAAACCGAACTCGTTGAGGGTCTTGGTGACCTCCTCCTCGGGCTTGTCGATACCGACAGACTTGAGCTTGTTCATGGTCCAGCCAATGACAGTCATCTCAGTGTCAGCAGAGTCCAAGTCGTGCTCGACGTAGACAGTCTTGACCTCATTCTGCTTGGGGAAACCTTCGACTTGCTCGTTGTTGATGGCGCGCATGAGAGTAGTCTTTCCGGAACCGTTGGGTCCGAGAAGACCGTAACGCTGACCACGCTTCAGACGAAGGTGAGTCTGGTTAAGCAGAATCTTAGCACCGTAGGCCAAGTTGAACGTGCAGTTGCAGAGGTCCTCGCCCTCCTCCTCATCGGGCTCAGTGACCTCCTCAGCAGCGGCACCGGGGAGAGACCTCTTGCGGAGGTTCTCAGTGACGTCCTTGGAGGCCTCATCGCCGACAAGAACGGCAACGAAGGGACCGGCGTTTGCCTGCCAGTTGAGAGGCTCGTAGTCCTTCTCGTCGATCAATTGGCCACCAATGGCACCAATGTAGTTGACGACAGGCTCGAAGCGCTCGTCAACCTTGACTGAGGAAGGAAGGATAGCCTTGAGGTTGGCGGCGATAGTGGCAATGTCACCAGACTTCTCGATCTCGGGGATCTTGCCGTTCTGGACAGCACCGACACGGATGAGGGTGTCGAGACCCTGGCGGGTCTTCTCACGAGCCTCGGGGTCAGCCAAGTTGTCGTGGTTCTTCTCAAGCGCGGGCATGAGACGGGGCAAGAAAGCGGCGACAATCTGAGGGTCTTCAACGAGCTTGCACATGTTGTCGATAATGACGGCAGACTTTCGCTTGATGGCAGTCTCACGCTCAACGAGACCACGCTCGAGAAGGGGAACCATGATAGCAAGAGTGGGCTCGTGGACGTCAGTGACGAAAGTGGTGGCACCGAGCAAGTGAACGGTCTCAGGGACGTTCTCAGGCTTAGCGATACACTTGATGAGCTCGGGAATGAAGCGCTCGATATCCTTGTTGGAGATCAAGGAGCAGAGAGTCTCCATGGTGACATAGGCAGCCTTCTTGACTTCAGGCTTGGTGTCCCACATGGCTCCAGAGATGACGGGAATCAGGTCAGGGACACGGAAGGCCATCTGTGCGGGGGCGCTCTTGGTGAGGACCTCAATGCACTTAAGGTCGCACATCTTCTCGGGCCATTTTTGTGCAGTCTCGAGCGACTTGATGATGTGAGGGATGATGGCCTTGACGGCGTTGGGGTTCGCGGCAGAGACGATGGCCTCGGCGGCAGTCTGGGCAGCAACCTTGACGGCAGTGATCTTGTCACCGACAGCGGCCAGCACGTCGGGCAGGAGGGAAACGAGGTAGGGCTCGACGGCGGCGGAGACGTGGGCGTGCTGGGCGATAGCACGGATGGCGTCAAGGGCACGCTCACGGGCGACAGCATCCTTCTTGCTGGCGAGTTGCTTCTTGAGCACTGAAACAGCGCTGGAAAGATTGTTAGCAAAAGTGCTACTGAAAGTCAGGGGCAAAGCAGATGGTGTTGACATACTGGGTGGGAGCGTCAGCCTCCTCAATGTCGCCGTTGATGAAGGTGGCAATGGCCTGAGCAGAGGCATTGATCTCGTCCTGTGCCTTGGAGACAGTCAACTTCTGCATCATCTCCTCAAGCGCCTTAAACGCCTTGGAGTTCTCGGACTTGACGTCCTTGGCAGTGTGCGAAGCAGCAGGCGCCATTGTGGTGAGGGGGGTGGAGGTGTGTGTGGGAGAAGTGAAAGACGAGGGGCGGGTGGTCCTTATATGGACTTAGGCGGCGGGGCCCAAAAAAACTTTTGGCGCGGAAAAGATAGAGTGAATCTATCCGTGGGTATCAAACACAGCCGCGAGAGAATCGGCTCGCAACCTCTATGCGATCCTGACGCAGCGACACAAAGAAGAGAAAGTACTTTGGGTCAGCCCAGAGGGAGAGTGAGTGGAGAGAGGGCGTAAAAAGAATGCCTGTGGAGGGGCTTTTTATCTGTTGGTGGGCTGTCTCGCTTTGAGAAATTTTTGGCCAGGGCGTAAGCCGATAAGATTAGCGTGTGCTGACCCCTGCACACAGCAACCCGACGCCTTTGCATTCGCCTTCGCCCTCGTTCGTCCAAATGCCCCCATGATTTCATCGGAAAATCCTGGAAACGAGCGAATACAGAGTTTTTTTTTCACTCTCGCCGGAATTTCTCCAGTTCTTTGCCACTGACAGCCATCCGCCCCTCTCTTTCTGCTGGTGATGGCGGGGCTGAGAGGGCTTGTTGTCGCTCCGTGTCCTGCAGTAGCCCACGTTGCAAAAGGCCATCATCTATTTGTGGCGAAGTCTGGTACAGGCATGCTGACCGCCTTCTCAGGACAAGCCCTGCTTAGGGACGTGGCTTCGAGCGGTTGAGAGCCGTCGGGCCTGCAGCACCGAAGATCAGGGACTCGCACTAAAACACGCGCCGCTCCAGCCTCCAGAAAGTACACATTTCAAAATCCCACCCTATACTGCTGCCCGTATAGAGTATTGTATTCTCGGAATCCTTCGTCTCAACAGCCTTTGCTTGTGTCCAGTGCTGCCGCGGATAGCGGGACTACCTCTTCTTCTAGACCCAGTCCACCGGCGGTCCCTTTCTGATACGGTAGGCTTGCCGATTGCTGTTCGTCCAGCCTTGCCAAGTTATCGCGCTACGGCCAACCGCGGACGCTCCAGACTACCTCACCGATATCTCCAAGTTGAAACCACGCTGTCGTTTTCAAACCCAAAATTCGCCACACCCTTTTACCGTATTACCAAGCAGATGCCTTGCCAATCCTTTATCGAGTCCCACACGGAATAACAAGTGTTCGTCGTGCTTACTAGAGTCTTCACATAGTCTTGATATTTTCGCCACCGTATTGTCAATGCAACTGTAGGCTGTAGGATCGACATGCCAGCCCGGCAATTGAGTCTGCATGGGAATAGCCCCTGCATATTACCTCTTCTAGACTCGAAGTCCCAACTGTTGGCTTGTCACTTAGTTACATGCGCATATCTAGCACTGCTTCCATGTACATATCTCCCTTCACTTCCAGCAACATGTCAAATCATTCTACATAAGTGCAAGATGCCCCTTCAGTCATGACGCTCGGATCATACCCCGCGCCTTATCGATACCCCGGATTTCTGTGTTTTTGCACTTTACAGCACGCTTGTGTCAACTCGCCCCGTGCGCAATGACCTGCCCAAAAGTAATGCATATTGTAAATCGCATATTTCAAACACATTTCACAAAACATTATACAGTAACTAGATGAAGAAGAGAATTTGAATTACATTATTAGCAGCAATGCTGCTGCTCCCGAATTTGAACTTAGACAGATCACCCTTGCACCCATATCATCAACCATGTATCATTAACCGGAATTGTTTTGACCCTGAGATTGCTTTCGCTCATATTTATCTGCCAGCGAATTCATGAAATTTGCGAGGGCTCGAAGGGTCTCGGCATCTTTCGGGAGCTTCTCCATCAAGTGACAGGCAGAATCGGCGACCAGATTGACATCTTCCATAATCCGCTTGAGTTCTAAGCGTGCCAGTGATTGGGGTGTTGGTGACGGAGAGCGCTTTCTCAACTTCTTCTTCCAATTGCAACAGGCCTTCTTTTGGTTTTGAGCTTCCTGTATATGCGTGTTAGCTATATGCAATCACATGTAAAGGAATAGCAATTTACCATTGTGTGTATGTGTTTTGTGTGTGTACGTATGCGTGTGCGTGTGTGTGAAAGAAAAAGAAGATTTTTTGGAGGGTTACGGAGTTGGAGGAGAGAGGGCAAGGCAGCCTATATATACCTGTGGAAAAAGCGTTTGTGCCAAGCGTCGCAATACAAAGATGGTGAAGATGAGGATGAGCTCATGGCGGGTTCCGGCCCTCACCGCATATAGATTGACGGTTGGGCTGGAACGATATACATTCCATCAATCTCAAGGATTTCGATTATGTTAAGCTAAAAGACTTAGGAAATAATGAGTATCTCACTCCAATTCACTGTTTCGGGGACAACAATATTTGATAACATCCCCGAGAAGGAAACTGTAACATTTAAACCTAAGTGCGATTAGATCATATCCATGACATGCTGCAACATAAAATGATCATTTTGGAGAACTACCTCTCCTTATTCGATGCTTTATATGCAATGTGAGACATGTAATTATGTGCTAGATTGGTAGAGCAAATGACCTTGATAACAGAGACATGTGGCTGACGGTTTTGATGGGACTTGCGCGGTTTTTTGTACTTGGTAATTTGCATTGCATGTCAAGACAGGATGACATTGGAAATTCTTGCTTGGGGTGTGGATTGAGTGAGTTGGTACCACGTGTCTACAGGTAGATCAGAGTACTGATATCATAAAGTGCCTTTGCTAGAAACGCATGAGATCCCAATGTAAAGTATCCTTGAATACACGCGACCTATGGCGTCAAATTCCTCTATCGCAACAATGTTTCCCCAGATCAGTATAACTTTAGATGGATCATCCTCCATGTGTCAGGTTATCGCGCGCTTAGATGTGCAATGTTGCTGATCGACGATTTTGCCGCTCGGCGGGCCTGCGACATGGTCTCTTCAAGCGCTTAGATTGTGTATGGCTGTACTACAGCATTATGACTGATCCGCCGAAAACTATAACTTCCATGAGAAATCAGTATACAATGTTGATTCCCGATAGCTTTTTATTCCCACTTTTTCTGTCGATAATTTGAGATGTTTACCAGAACGACACCGGGGAGAGAGCAACACCAAGACACCACAGCTGGTGCGAATGAACACCAGACCCTAAGTTCGCGAAGCTTAGTACCATGGTCTGATATGAAAGTGACCGAGACAAAAAATGGGTTTTCACCAGAAGTATGCCTGACGATGATGATTCTTTAAGATATTGAGTTGACAATTGACTATCAGGCCGAGCAGCAACGCCGAATAAGGCGCCTACAAGAAATTTTTAATAGAGAAAAGCTTGTTGAACACCTTACAAAATTCAGTCTTAGTAGTCCGCTCTGCAAAAACTGCCAAAGCGTACCTTGGGATCAGCTCGCCAGCTCCCAGCTTCCGGGTCCAGCTGGAGTCCGCGTACTGTTCGAAATCCACGAGACTCGTGAAATACTCGCAAGATCTTCGTGCATTGTGTGCAAGTATATCAGTTCCATTTGGCCAGAGGGCGTGGAACTAGAGCGATGCTTTCTAGGAGTCAGGTGCCTGTGCAACATGCTTCCTGGTCAAGCCACCAGTAGCCATCATTCTCCTGGTTACGATCATAGCCCGCAGTTCCAGCTATCTGGATACGTTCAAAAGACACGAGTTTGGTGTTCTGAGAACTTTGGTATCTTACATCCATGGTCGAGTCATGATGAGTTAGCGCCTCGCCACGTCGATGTTGATCGCATCAACTTCCAGCTGGTCCGCGAATGGCTCGAGATATGCAAAACATCTCACAAGCACGATCTAGCAGGGCCAAGGGGTAAAGAGTGTGTTCCAGGGTTCAAGGTCATTGATTGTCGCACAAAGCGAATCATTCCAGTGCCGCACAATGTCTGCCAATACGTTGCGTTATCATATGTTTGGGGTGATGCTGCTCCCGAGGATCATAAGGCAGGGCAATACCCAAAGACTATCGAAGATTCAATAACAGTGTGTAATATGCTAGGTTTTGAGTGCCTTTGGGTTGACCGATACGTAAGACCGTCCAATATAATTTCCAACATCCTGAACAAGATATGTAATAACGTCAACAGTGTATCAACCAAAAGGATGAAGCCGAAAAGGGCGTACAGATCAACATGATGGACTGTATCTATTCGCAAGCACAGTTGACAATAGTCGCCACAGATCCAAACCCATCGAAAGGTCTTCCTGGTGTCGGATCAAGAGCTCGCAACAAGCAGCAGAGTCTTCCATTAGGCAACATTGAGTTGATCAAAACCTATCACACTGACGAGGCGATTTTACGATCGACATGGGCCACTCGTGGCTGGACATTCCAAGAAGGATATCTATCGAGGAGAAAATTGATATTCACAGAAAACGAGGCCGTTTACCTATGCGATGACATGTACTGTCAAGAATCAATTCGCAAAGATATATCAACCAGGCCGACCGGACAACGTCAAGGGCTCGCTGGCGCGGCGATGGATGGTATCTGTCCAATGTCGACAAATGAACGAAAAGGACAAGTCAAGCTAGACGACCTTTTGAACGAGTACAACAGCAGAGATCTATCGTACCAGTCCGATGCTCTCAATGCATGCCAAGGAATCTTGAGAGGTCTTTCCATACCACACAACTGGGGTCTTCCCATCATTCCAACATCCTGGTGGGAGGCTGACCGGCAATCACCAACATCGCACGGCATGAACCTATACTGGCAGTCTGATGAGCCCGGTATCCGACGTGTAGAATTTCCAAGCTGGTCCTGGGTGGGCTGGCGAGGCCAAAAGATATTCCACAACTACGACCACTACTACACTGACGCCAGCGTCATCGAAGCCAAGTCAATAGCCGGGAAATGGTTGGATTTGGAGCAGTGTTTCAATCCAAGAGATGGCTCATTACACACTACTTTATCGGAACGCATACGCATCACAGGTTTAACGGTACAACTAACACCATACATTGTCAACCAGTCTTGGATCAAAAACCGAATGCCTGGATACCGACCTTCGCATAAAGGACCTCACGCCGTTTTCCCATACTCCGCCAATATTGACATCGTCGCAACAGTGCATCTAGACGAAAAAGATGCGAGCACCGATATCCTCCAAGACGTCATAGCTGTGCTTATCAATCGACATGAGAAAAGAAGACACCGTGGTATAATGCTGGTGCTGAAACCCGACGGTGATCACTACAAAAGAGTAGGGATTCTGAATTTTCGCAATCTTGGTATCCACAAGGACCGAAGGGATTTCACGGAGTCGAAGAGCCTTATTAAGGGGGAGAATGGGTGCTTTTGGATGAAGGATTTTCGGCAAAATGCTATTGAAGTGGAGTAAGTCTGCAGAGTTTGTAAGTGGGAAGGGATTAGTTAGATTTGTGATGTTTGTAAGACTAGCTCGGCGTTTCCAATATTATCTATTGAGAGTGTATTTTCAATAGTAATAATATAATATATACTGGTCATCTTCAGCTTTCATGAAGAACAAAAAGTCAGCAGTGACGTACTAATGAAAGGGTAATGTCAGCTGTACGGAAGAGTGGAAAGGTGCTAACCGCACGTGGTCAGTGCTCGGCCCGTCAGTGTGTGCCTTAGTTCATTTGCGGAAATGTCCGACTCCGCATCACGGAATCCTTTACAGCTCAGCCACGATCAATCCATGGTCAGATCGTTGGGTAGGAGTAATTTTCGAATCATGTGCCGCCTCAGGCAGCGCCGGCCAAGGGCGTTTCGCATTTGAAGCGCGCGTGTGATGGCTCAATCACACGGGTCCCACCTTCACATTCTTTCCCACCTTCACACTCTGCCCCTCCCCCACTCTAAGCACATAACGACCATCTCCTGCGCACATTTTACGTAGAGTGATACTTCTTCCACCTTTCGCACTCTTGGGTTGCTATCACGAAACGCGACATGGCAAGCCAAGACTACTACGGGCAGAGTCAAGGGCAAGGCCAACAAGGCTATGGCCAGAACTATGAAGGCACCAGCCAGCGACAGTGGGGTTCGGCAGACTATAACCAAGGCTACCCCCCTCAGCCTCAGAGCTATGGACAACCGCAGCATGATCAATATGGCCAAGCCAATCACAGTCCCTATCCGCCAGTACAGGTTAGCAAATTCGTGCGGCTCAGCGCACGTTGTCGCATGCACGTCTATTCATTGACAATGCGATAGAGCCCTTACCCACCCCCTTCCTATGGTTCCTATGGGCAGTCCCAGAACAGCTATGGCGCTTCTCCCCAGCCCGTAGACCAATACCAGCAGGGCTACGACCCGAACCGTAGCACCTCTCCTTACCCACCCACAGCACATCATCAGCAAGGCTATCAAGATCCAAGCCAGGAGTACGGAGCGCCTCAGCAACAGGGTCATCATGACCCTCAGCAAGGCTACGGTGCGTCACAATACGGCCAACCCGGTGGGCCAGGCGACGCCGCTGAAGGAGATCGTGGTCTTGGTTCCGCTTTGATCGGAGGCGCAGGTGGTGCTTTTGTTGGAAACAAGCTGGGTGGTGGAACCCTTGGAACCCTAGGAGGCGCAATCTTGGGTGCTGTCGCAGCCAACATGGTGCCTGACAAGTAAGCCAAATCGATCATTTCGAAGTTCTCATTGGAATTATACTGACTCGTGTAAAGGAAAGAAAAGAAAAAGCACAAGAAGAAACATAGGCATAGTAGTAGCCACGGCTCCCATCGCTCGCATGATGGGTCGGACGATGGCTCTCATCATGGGTCTCATCATGGATCATCACATCACGGATCTTCCCACCATTCGCATCACGGATCCTCACACCATTCACATCGGAGCTCGTCGGGTCATAGGCACAGGCATAAGCACAATAAAAGCCACAGCAGAGGGGGCAAGAGCAGTTCTAGTTCGAGCAGCAGCGATTCAGACTAGATTGAGCATGTTTAGGGATATCCTCTCAGGTATACGTGACATGATTTATCCTTGGTACCAATGATTTTGCGTTCTGATTGGTGATAATTGTGTTGCTTGGCGATTATTTTTTGCTATCTGCAAACGAAGAGTGTTTTGAAACGCCATTAAATTTTCCTATCAAGGCAGTGTATGACGGCCGATCTCTGACATCTGATGCTAAAATCGCGTAACATGAACAAGCTTTTGAACCAATATCAGAAATCGAGATAGGCGTCCATGCTCATCCATAGACTTCGACAGTGGGTCCGACTGAACCCTGACTTTAGCCAAAACAGGCTAAGCGTATTGCAGCCCTTTTCTCCACCGAGTTACTCATCGCCGCCGCAAATTCCAAAATAGCCCCGCAACCGCCCTTGTGAAGGTGCAGATTTAGTCTGCCTTGTATTTTTTCAGTATCACAAAAATATCTGGGCGACTTTCCAAATCAACCCGCAACATCACAATCATGGCCGACGTATTCTTGAGTTTCTTCCGGAGTTTCTTGCCCGATGAACTTGCGGCGGTAATCGAGACTACCATCAAGGCGACCGAATCAGGGGACTTTCAGTCTGTACTTCAATCGCCAGAAGCGCAGATATTACTAGGCTATCAGGACGACGAGACTACCCAAAATGTCAAGAGGAGCGATTTTGGGTTATGGAGCGACTACATTTTCCATCGCCTTGGGTTGATATTGTCAAAGCGAAAGGAAGAAGAGTCGATTCCCGTAAACGAAACTGCGCTTTATCGACAGCACGTCTACTTCTTGATTGCCGTCGCGGCGTTGCATGCGTTCCTTCAATCAAATGTTACGGGTCCACCATTGCCTTTCAAGTCGGCTGAAGTGCTGCTACCGAAGGATATCGCAGGTGACACCAAAGCCCTAGCTAAAACGCGCGGAGAACTTGTCACATCGTTGAATGCCGACGGTGTTGCAGCATATAGGCTCACACCAAATATCGAACTGCTTTGCTTGGCGGACACCATTCTCATCAGCCCGCCCATCCAGAAGAACATTCCAGTCTCAGTATGGGCCAGACTAAGGACGAATTTCATTCACCAGAGACTGCTTAGTGAGGCTGCACCAAGCCTACAGGACACCATCTACGACAATCTCAAGGGTGTAGAAGACTTGATCCAAAACTCAGGGAAGGTCAATGAGATCAAAGATTTACATACAACGTTTTTGCTCGAGCGTGCGGCTATCCATACACATCATGGTCTCGATAAGAAGGCCCGAGCGGACCTTGACCAAGCGGCCTCTGAGCGCAAGTTTGAATTCGCGTTGACTGGTTTGATGGGAAAGAGAACAAAATTCCAGCAAAAAGATACAAGTCAGTTGATTGTACTTGCTCGAAGCGCGGGATCAGAAGCCAGCGGCACCTCAGAAGAAACCTCGAAGCCCAAGAAACTGGATCTGAACGACGACACACTGCTCGAATCCATATCCTTTACCAATGACGCTGTTTCCACCGAAATCAAAGACGAATCAGAAATCCCCGCATCGCTTCAGTCCATAGACGCGTCAAACCAACCACTGCTCGATCCACTCGACTCAGTCATTGTGCTTTCGCTGGCCGAGAGTATCAAGAACACCAACCCCGCGGATGGCCTTACACGCGAGCAAACGGAGCCGTACGCAACACGAGTGCTAGAGGGCGGAAGTTCCAATTGGCAAGTTTACACTCAGGCTCTTCTCGTGCGCAGTCGTATCGAGGGTTACAAGTCGCGTACCGTGGAGCGAGGCTTGCTACAACTGCAAGCACTTGTGGATCAAGTCATTGTAGAGACTTCGGGTGATTCCACCACTGATGCTGAGACGGGTCAGAAGGTTACTTCTTTCTTGCCGCAAGCAAAGCAGGAAGAGTCGGCATCTGTTGAAGAGCGGCTACGCTATATATTCCCCCTCTGCTCGCCGTCACGATGGGAACTCGAGTCTGAACTAGCAGCTCGCTGGGTTGCATTGGGTGGTCTCCGATCCGCGCTTGAAATCTACGAGAGACTCGAACTGTGGGCTGAAGCAGCACTGTGCTATGCTGCTACTGAGAAAGAAGACCGAGCACGCAAGATTATCCGAAGACAGCTTTTCCATGCCACCAACGGCGACGACGAGAATGTGGATCTGGACGCAGAGAAGTGGGAAGGAGCAGAACGGGATCCACCACCAGCGGAAGCACCACGCTACTACTGTATCCTAGGCGACATCGACAAAGACCTCTCACTCTACGAAAAAGCGTGGGAAGTATCGGGAAAACGCTATGCTCGCGCCCAACGCTCCCTCGGCCAACGCTACATCGCAGCCCGCGACTACGAAAAAGCAGCAGAAGCCTATTCGCTCTCTCTAAAAATCAACGCCCTCCACCACCCCGCCTGGTTCGCCCTCGGCTGCGCCCACCTCGAGCTCCACGAATTCAAAAACGCCGTCGAAGCCTTCTCGCGCTGCGTCCAGCTCGACGACCAAGACGCAGAGGCATGGAGTAACCTCGCCGCCTCGCTCCTGCACCTGCGCCCCAAGGTCACCGAGTCGAAAAACGGCGAAGTATCAGAGAATAAAGTGACGAATCACCCGCGCACCGATGCGCTCAAAGCTTTCAAGCGCGCGGCGACAATCAAACACGACGACTACCGCATCTGGAACAACGTCCTCGCCGTCGCCACGTCGACGAGCCCTCCTTCGTGGCAAGACGCCATCACAGCCCAACGCCGCATCTGCGAGCTGCGCGGCCAGACGGATGGTGAAAAATGCGTAGACGCTGAGATTCTCAACATGCTCGTCAAACACGTCGTTTCGAGCGAAGAAGGGTTCGACATCTCGCGCCCGGGTCTCGCACGCATGGCAAATGATCTCATTGAAAAGCACGTCAAGCCTCTCATCACTGTCTCCCCACAGCTCTGGATCATACTCGCGACTCTGTACACGCACACGCAGCGTCCTGCGTCGGCGCTCGAGTGCCACGAGAAGGCGTGGCGGGCCGTGACGTCGCAGCCGCGGTGGGAGTCTAGCACCGAGGCCGAGTGGAATGCCGTCGTGGATATGACGGTGGATCTGGTGGATGCGTACGAGACGCTTGGGCCGCGGGAACGGACCGAGGGCTTGAGTGCTGGGAGTGGCGAGGTGGTGGCTAAGGATTGGAAGTTTAAGAGTCGTAGTGCGGTGAGGAGTGTTATGGGTAAGGGAAAGGAGAATTGGGAGGATACTGCTGGGTGGGAAAAGCTGGTGGAGAGGTTGGAGGAGTTGAAGGCGAGGGAGTAGGAGGGGATGTTGTTTGTAGTGTATAGGAGGTAAAGGAGCAAATGTTAAAAGTTGATAGAGGGTTACAGGATTCACCAATTTTTTTTTTTTTGCAAAGAAGCTTGATCTGCGATAATGCTTGTGCATGCTAAGGTGTCTTGGCCAGCTCGTTGCCAATATTCTGCCTATATGGAGAACTTATCAAATTGGTCCTTGTTTTCACACGAGCCCTTGGACTTTAGCGCTTCATAGAAGGACATCCTGATAGGCTATTGTACATACATAGCATATTTGAGCATTCACCGATGACCACATTTTGAGTAAACAAGTAGGAATATCCAAGGGATTCGGGCTAATCACTGGTTGCAGGTTGGCTTGCTGCAAAAACCCCACGATGGTAGTAAGCGCACATGCAATCATTCAGGACCGAAGAAAAAATCTCGGTTTGAACAAAGGTCACCAACCAGATATGCCTTCAAATTCTAGTGAGAACATGCACTATATTCTTACCTGATCTGGCAAACCTATCACAAAATCGCTTGTGCCGAGGTCCTACACCGTCAGTTTCTCTCTCTCGTGGCGTAAAGATGCCCATCTCCTATTAGTTGCGATTCAGAACGCTCACGGATGTGCATACATGTGCAGACGACCTTGTGATTGGCCAGAGAAATTATCCCAACGGGCCTTGTCGTTTGAGTTCGGCCGGGTATGCGAGTGTCCGGTCCCTGTTGGCGAGGGTCGGTGTAACGCGACGCAGAAAAAAACCCGAGGACCGGGTTCACGAGGGAATCTAGCTGCAAGTCGATCTCGCCAGAGGATTTCCGTGATATCGGACAAGTCAAGGAGCGCAAACAGCCGGCACTAATTGGTATAAGGGATGCAAGCCTCGAAAACAAAGGTATAATTTTCTAGAATGCGTTCAGAGCCTGGGCGCTGAGAATGTATGGATGAATGCTCCTTCGATCCGTAATATGGGATATGGTCTCTCGTTCCATGCTTACTACGGGAGATATATTCAACAACCCAACTCGACCGGTAAACGAAAGAAGCCAGCCAAAGCCGGTGCTCACCTATTAGCAGTGGTCCAATAGCAATATTGGCCCGTAAAACAGGCGAGGCCAAGACGCTTGCGTGATAATCCTGTGATGAAGAACGAAAGCGGTCGAAGTTCCGCATGGCGTAGTGGGCGTGACGATGAAAATCTTTGTGTTCAATCTGTGATACCATAGCAACGTATTATGACCCAAGACTTGCTGGGGCACAAGGCCGGTTGGCAAGATTGCACAAACTGCGTTTGTATTTGCGGGGGTACGGCCAAGCTCTCATTCATCCAACAGACTGATAGCCCTCGATGGACAAGTGGAGACAGCAATATGCAGCGGTCGAGTCAGTGGGGGCGGTCATGGTGCAATGGGCCCATGATTATATAACAGATGAGTGCAGCACATGCCCAGTATGTACTACCAACAGTAGAGATTGTGTTCCAGATGCGAGGAGTAAGGGCCCGGTATCGTGGCAAACGACCTCGTGGGAACAACCCTGCTGTTGGTGACGAGCTGTTCAAGCCATGTTACGTTTGCTCATACTTGGAAGGGTTAGAGGGGTAATATGGGATGCTAAGATGGTGGTGCACCGAGAGGCGCTTGGAGGAGAGGTGGTGCTGGCGTTAGTAGACTAGGAAGGCAGCGATGCTATCGTCAGACTGCCTAGACGTACATACATATCTCAGTAGGTTAGCTGCAACGAGGGCACATGGCAAGGCCCTGGTCGTGTCCGAGCGCATGCAGTTGGGCACTTTGACATGCATTGCAGCAACAGGCGAGAAACAGGGAATTAACGTCATTGCCTGGGTATGCGTAGTTGGTCGAGGGCAGTAAGTACCATGGTGGAAGCGCTGGAGGCTACTGCCCTACATTTGGGTCATGGGCGGCTTACACACAGCCCCCGAAAGGCCGC